GACAACAGGTGGGTGTTGCTATGGCAACCAGTGAGCTAAGATAAAACAGGGATTTGCCTAGCAGTGATTTATAGATGACCTGGAGCCAGTGGGTTTGGCGACGAATATGTAGTGAGGGCCAGCCAACAAGAGTGTGTAGGTCACAAAGGTGGGTAGTATATGGGGCTTTTGCTGAGTAGAGTGTTGGAGGCTATTTTGTAAATGACATCGCCGAAGTCAAGGATCGGTAGGATAGTCAGTTTTACGAGGGCATGTTTGGCAGCATGAGTGAAGGAGGCTTTGTTGCGAAATAGGAAGCCGATTCTAGATCTAACTTTTGATTGGAGATGCTTAATGTGAGTCTGGAAGGAGAGTTTACAGTCTAACCAGACACCTAGGTATTTGTAGTTGTCCACATACTTTAGGTCAGACCCGCCGAGAGTAGAGATTCTAGTCGGGTGGGCGGGTGCAAGCAGCATTTGCTTGAAGAGCATGCATTTAGTTTTACTAGTGTTTAAGAGCAGTTGGAGGCTACAGAAGGAGTGTTGTATGGCGTTGAAGTTCGTTTGGAAGTTTGTTAACACAGTGTCCAATGAAGGGCCAGATGTATACAAAATGGTGTTGTCCGCATAGAGGTGGATCCGAGCGTCACCAGCAGCAAGAGCTTATGAATAAGTATTGCTGTTCACCTTGCCTTAGCATTGAATTTTGAATGGAATATTTGTCCTACCCAAGCTTTACGGAGTCTACCATGATCTGCTGTACACAGATGTGTTTCTTGTAAGAATGCTATATCGGTTTTTAAATTCTTAAGATGAGCAAATACTCTAGCCCGTTTAACCGGACCATTCATGGCCTTGACGTTCCAGCTTGTAAACCTAATAGCTGACCCTCCACCTCCCACCCTAATATCTGAATTGTCAGTCATTAACGGTTGAGATTACTAAATTTTAACTGGAATAGAGATGAAAACCCTGTATAAAACCACCAATCATATCCCGTGTCAAAATAAAAAGCATGTACCGAAAAGTTAGGAAAAATACTGTTGAAGTAGAATGTGTAACAATCAAATGGTTAATGAAGGCAAACAACGTCCCCCCACCCCCCCCCTAACATAAAACCCTAAAAATAACACAACAAAATAAACACAGTACATAATAACACTGTCCTATGCTCGCCTCTAGGGTGGACTGCAGGCTTCCCCAAATAGGGTCAAACTCCCGGTTAACCATCTACCACTTAACTTACCCTACACAAGAGGGCTTCCAATTATTAACATAATTATTTACAACGCCAGTTTTAAATTGTTTAAACTCAAATATTAACAGTGTCACTCAATAGTCGATCAGTTACATCCTCCATTGGCTTTAACAAACGCAAATAGCCAAATAAAATGCTTCTGTTAGTCAAGACTTCGCACATGGGTTGTGTTAGGGGCACGCTCCACGCCACGTTCCCGCAGCCGCACCGCGCAACTGTGTCCACAACCACAAGGTGTAAAATATGATACTCAGGCGCAGCGCAACCACAAAGACCACAGCAGGGAACACACCCCACAAACACAAATGCCAAAATATTCCAACGTCAATTAACCTCCGTAGAGGCAAAAGCTAAATATATCCAAACACCCACTCAATCAAACAAAGGCATTACAGTCACATGAAAGCAAATGCAAACAAGAAAGTAACCCAAGTCAAACCCTAAGATTGTAGCATTAGTAAATAGTCTTTAGAGAGGTAACGTTAAATGACTAGCTAATGCTAACTTAGTAGTTCAAACAAAAACAAACTCACGTTGGATATTTAACATGTTACTAGTGCCAGCTAAGCTAGTCAGCCAGGCAATATTACTTACATGGATACAGGTCTTCGTTCAGTTGATTCTAGATGTAGCTAGCTAGGTAGTTGTCTATACGTCAAGCTATATCAAATCAAGTCAAATCAAATGTTATTTGTTACATACACGTGTTTAGCAGATGTTATTGCGGGTGTAGCGAAATGCTTGTGCTTCTAGCTCCGACAGTGCAGTAATATCTAACAAGTATTATCTAACAATGTCACAACATATACCCAATACACACAAATCTAAGGAATGGAATTTACATATATGGACAAGCAATGACAGAGCGGCATGGACTAAGATACAATATAATATTATAGAATACAGTATATACATATGAGATGAGTAGTGCAAGATATGTAAACATTATTAAAGTGACTAGTGTTCCATTTCTTAAAGTGGCCAGTGACTATCAATAGGCAGCAGCAGCCTATAATGTACTAGTGATGGCTATTTAACAGTCTGATGGCTTTGAGATAGAAGCTGTTTTTCAGTCTCTCGGTCCCAGCTTTGATGTACCTGTACTGACCTCGCCTTCTGGATGATAGCGGGTTCCGGGCAGTGCAGTTGCCGTACCAGGCGGTGACTCTTACATAGGTATTCCTCTTGTCCAGATGGGATAGGGCAGTGTGCAGTGTGATGGCGATTGGGTCTAGGATGACAGGTAAGGTAGAGGTGATATGATCCTTGACTAGTCTCTCAAAGCACTTCATGATGACAGAGGTGAGTGCTACGGGGCGATAGTCATTTAGTTCAGTTACCTTTGCTTTCTTGGGTACAGGAACAATGGTGGCCATCTTGAAGCATGTGGGGACAGTAGACTGGGAAAGGGAGAGATTGAATATGTCCGTAAACACACCAGCCAGCTGGTCTGCGCATGCTCTGAGGACGCGGCTAGGGATGCCGTCTGGGCCGGCAGCCTTGCGGGGGTTAACATGCTTAAATGTCTTACTCATGTCGGCCACAGAGAAGGAGAGGCCACAGTTCTTGGTAGTGGGCCTCGTCAGTGGCACTGTGTTATCCTCAAAGCGGGTGAAGAAGGTGTTTAGCTTGTCTGGAAGCGAGACGTCGGTGCTGGCGACGTGGCTGATTTTCCTTTTGTAGTCCATGATCGTCTGTAGGCCCTGCCACATACGTCTCGTGTCTGAATTGTGACTCCACTTTGTCTCTATACTGATGTTTTGCCAGTTTAATTGCCTTGCATAGTGAGTAGCTACACTGTTTGTATTCTGCCATATTCCCAGTCACCTTACCATGGTTAAATGCGGTGGTTCCCTATTTCAGTTTTGCGTGAATGCTGCCATCTATCCACGGTTTCTGGTTAGGGTAGGTTTTAATAGTCACAGTGGGCACAACATCACCTATACACTTCCTGATAAACTCAGACACTGTTTCAGTGTATTCGTCTAAATTATTTTTCGCAAGCTACCCGGAACATATCCCAGTCCGCGTGATTCTGATTGGTCAGACCAGCGTTGAATAGTCCTTAGCACGGGTACTTCCTTTGAGTTTCTGCCTATAGGAAGGGAGGAGCAAAATTGAATTGTGGTCAGATTTGCCGAAAGGAGGGCGGGGGAGGGCCTTATAACCATCCCGGAAGTTCGAATAGCAATGGTTGAGGATTTTAGCAGCCCGAGTACAACAGTCGATATGTTGATAGAACTTCGGCAGCCTAGTCCTCAAATTTGCTTTGTTAAAATCCCCGGCAACAATAAATGCAGCCTCAGGATATGTGGTTTCCAGTTTGCATGAAGTCCAGGGAAGTTCTTTGAGGGCCGTTGTGGTATCGGCTTGAGGGGGGATATACATGGCCGTGACTATAACCGAATAGAAAATTATCTTGGGAGATAATACGGTCGACATTTGATTGTGAGGTATTCTAGGTCGGATGAACAAAAGGACTTGAGTTCCTGTATGTTACTACAATTACATCATGCGTCGTTAATCATGAAACACACACCTCCGCCCTTCTGCTTCCCGGAGAGATATTTATTTCTGTCTGCGCGATGAACTGAGAACCCATCTGGCTGGACCGATTTCGACAGAATATCCCCAGAGAGCCATGTTTCCGTGAAACAAAGTATGTTACAGGCCTTGATGTCTCTCTGGAAAGAAATCCTTGCCCTGAGCTCGTCAATCTTGTTATCCAAAGACTGAACATTAGCGAGTAGTATACTTGGAAGCGGTGGGTGGTGTGCTCACTTCCTAAGTCGAACCAGCAGGCCGCTCCGAGTGCCTCTCCTCCACCGGCAATGTTTTGGGTCAGCCGCTGGAATCAGTTCAATTGCCCTAGGAAGAGCAAACAAAGGATCTGCTCTGGGAAAGTCATATTCCTGGTCGTAATGCTGGTGAGTTACCGCCGCTCTGATATCCAATAGTTTTTCCCGGCTGTATGTAATAATACAAAACACTTTCTGAGCTAATAATGTAAAAAATAATACATAAAAAAACAAAATACCGCAAAGTTTCCTAAGAGCTAGTCTCAGCTAGCTAGCAGCTAGAAATGGTGGAGAAGTGCTTAGCTAAATCCACCGCCACATTCAAATAGCCCAGTCAGTCCTTGAGCACTCCGGTTTTTGTTGTGCGTAGCTAGCCATACTAGCAAGTCAGCCCAATGTTCCTGTTTTCTGAAATCTTCTCAGCCAAGTATAGACGTAATAAAGATATCCCTGGGTGCTCCTGGAGTTAAGCATTCATCTTGTTGCCATGTAAAAATACATTAAAACATTTAAAATAATGTGGCGCTAGCTAGCTAGCCAGATAGCAAACAGTCAAGTGTGTCCAACCAGCTCCCGCTATCCAGCCAATTTGATTGTGATGTATTAGCTAACGTTGCCACTAATCTCAGTCAAATGAAACTAAATAAAATAAAGATGTAATCGGGTGCTCCCGGAATGAGAAAAAAACCAACATTGCTTTCATGTGAAAAGTAATATCCAAGTGGCTGTCATGAAAATCAGTCCGTTGCCAGCTAGCAAAGTAGCCAGCCACATATTCCTCCCGCCATGGCTAGTCAGCTGGGCTGCTTCCTTTACTCTATGCGACGGACAGAGAATGCTTTAGCCTCAGCCAGTGTGTGAAAAATGTGGATCTCTCCCTCATAAAAGACACGAAGACGGGTAGGGTGTAGGAGCTGAAACGTTATCCCCTTCTTATAGAGACAGGTTTTGATGTCCTTGAACTCAGCTATTTTCTTCACGAGATTGGCACTCTGGTCTGGGTAGAATCGTATATCTTGGCCATGAAATATTGGTTGATGCTCCCTTGCCCAGCGCATTGCACGTTCCCTTGTCTTGGAAATTATAAAAGCGGGCTATGATTGCCCTAGGCCGCTCCCCTGAGTTGGGTTTGGGGGTGAGGGATCTGTGCGCTCGGTCGAGCTCCGGCGGCTTGTCAAAGACACCGTTACCCATCACTTCCACCAGAATGTCGGAGACAAATTTCACAGGGTTGACTCCAGTCTCAATTCCCTCCATGACGCCAACGATCCGGATGTTTTCCCTTCTGGTATAATTCTCCAACGAATCTACCTTGGAAAGTAGAGTTGTGTTGGCCGTTTTCATATGAGAGACGGCTGCCTCTAGCTCTGCAATCCGCTCGGTGTTGTCAGTAAAGAAACCTTCTAGTGTAGAGAGGCGTCGCCCAAACGTGTTGACTGATTCTGGAAATGCGTCAATGGAAGTTTGGAGAGGTGCCAGTGAAGTGCTTTTAGAACCACGAAGGGCTCTCCAATCGTTTAAAACTCATCAAGATATGTTGCCTACGCCTAATAGTCCTACTCATCACTTATTATGATTATTATTATTACAAATAGAAGATTTGCACCTCTCACAATGGTGCTTGTTTAATAAAGATAGAGCAAAGCTGAATCAATGTCTTGCAAGATCACATAACGATTAATTAGTATTTTATATAACAAAACCAAACAGCATAGCAGGCCTATAACATTACTGTTACACCAAAAACACATAATTTATAATTATATTTTAGGATGGTTAGCTGAAGGTGAATAGTCCAAGAAACATATCATGCGCAGTGGCGCCCCATCATTTAGGGCAGTTTTGAGCCCCACCTGTTTTGTTGCATGTTTTGCATGTTATTTTGGCATTAATACTTGTCACATATCAGTTTGCAAACAATGTAAAACAAAACAACAACATTGAGTTAATAAAGCCGCATTCAAACATTGTCTATTTTTTGCTTTCTTGAGTAAGGCAGCTCCAAAATGCAGGTGTTTCGGCCTAGCTCAGCGTAGGGGTTGGTAATGTTCTCTAGTTGCGCTGTGATTGGCTCAGTGTTCTGTCACTCATGGGGACACTACATCACTGCAAAATCGACGGGGAGAGCTCGAAAATTCAAGCCCCTTTGGTGCTGCCATAGAGTTACATTAGAAGTGCCCATCCAAGAAGGCTCAAGGTCATTGGCCACAGATAAAATGACGTCAAATCACGTTATATCTACCGTAGCTTTGATTGGACTAATCATGTCAACATCATACTTTCTAAATCTTAGCTAGCAAGTTAGACAAGCAGTCATCATCATGAATCACATCGACAATCTACTGCCAAATCATTTTCAATCCTTGTCATGTGAAGATAAATTATAGAAACAACATATTGGTGCTCATCGGCCATTGGAAATAAACATTACACAACAAGGTGGAAATTGCAAATTCAACAATGAGTGGTTTGGAAGGAATAAGTGGCTAACTGCAAGCATTGCAAAGCAATCACTAGCCTGCTATTCAGCTGTGTGGGTGTGTGGTCCAAGTCTGGGTTTAAGGGTCTCTTTTCTTAAAAGGATAAACATTCAACACCATGGGCCAGAAAAGGTTGAATACATTTGCTATGCTATCAATACAGCATGACTTCTGCTGCATTCAAAACAACTGGAAACTCGGAAAGAAATTAGCTCCGACTGGGAAAATAAGTTTTGAACGGTCATCCAACTCGGAATTCCAAGTCGGGAACTCGGGCCTCTTTCTAGAGCTCCGACCTTGTAACGAAGACGCTGGGAGTCAGGAAGCAGGGGGTGAGTTTAATAATCATAAAGAACATTGAGCGATACAAAACAAGAGAAGCGTCTTGACATGAACACAAAACCAATACTGCCTGAAGAGTGATGCTAGGGAGTGCTAGATAAAGGGGGAGTAATCAGGGTAGTGATGGAGTCCAGGTATGCCTCATGATGGGGCGCAGGTGTGTGCAATGTGGGTTCCCAGGTGAACGTAATGATGGGTTGCCAGGACCGGTGGTTTGTATACCGGTGACATCGAGCGCCAGAGCGGGGGAGCGTGAGTAGACGTGACAGACATGAAGATCACTGACGTCATGATTCAACCTTGTTTTGTTCCGAGTTCCCAGTTGTCTTGAAAGCACCATAAATCCAGAGAATGTCAGATTTTTGATGACAAAGCTTGATTTGTCCACAAGGACCGACGCGCCACCTTCCTGTTCAAGTGAGCACAGCACAAAAAGGTGAGTCCAAAAATGTATTGTATCCTGCTGCATAAATGATGTAATATTCCAGGGAGATATGTATACTGTAGCCAAGAAAGTAATACTAAGTGTATGTTGTGTAGTAAGCTGTTAGTAGCCCATGTGCCTAGCTTACTGTTCTGACTTGGTGGTGCACATGTAGCCTATAGCCTGTTTTAGAGAAATGTAATCATCAAATATTGTAAGAGCTTTCATTGTTCGCTTATATGCCCTTTTTATTTATCTAACTTGGTGTACAGGGAGAATATTGTAAGAACGGCCCATGATCTGAATTCTGTCGCTGTGCATTTCAAAAGTGCTGAACAAATTGTTATATTGATTACGTCCGTCCTAGCTTGCTCATTAATGTCTTAATCGAAACTACGGATTGCCTCTTATCCGCTCGTCGTCCCCTTATGCTTTATGTTTTTTTTAAAGGCAGTAAATGAGGCTGAATGAACTGTTTCGCTGCCAGACAAGGCTCCGCTGATAGCCAGGTGTAGCAGTGGTAAGGATTCACTCCATGTTGCTGAAAAGAAAGCTCTGCTCTTGGGACAGCTTTATGTATATTTACCATATGTAACTCTGTGTTGTTGTTTTTTTTATTGCACACTATGCTTTATCTTGGCCAGTCGGCAGTTGTAAATGAGAACTCTTTCTCCAACGCCTTATCGGTTACATAAAGTAAATAAAAAAAATAAAAAACATAAATGTAGGCCCTAACAGTTTGTGGCACTGTTTTGTCACCGTTACAGTGCAATTAATGTATTGTTTAGTGTTGTGTTGTGTACTGGCTTTGCTGGCATGTATCCTCCAACATTTTTGGGGAGTTTACCCCACCATGATTTACATGCTAAAACACATGCCAAAACTCAGAGTCACAATGCAGGATATATGCTTTGATTGATACAAAATACAGGAAAGGATAATAGTTTGTTAACATCATCTGCTCTAATTCGCTCATAAAATGAATACAAATGGGGTTGGACTGAAACCCTACTGGACGGTAGCACTCCAGGAACAGGGTTGGAGAGCCATGAAAGGCTATTCAAAAAGCTACATCTGTCGGTACAAACTATGATTGAGGAAATTATGATGTCATTTACATATTTTTTGCGCTCCCTCATCTAAAAGTGATACACCACTGCAAGTGAGATCTGTGGCAGTTCTGTAGCCGGTGGTGTCTGTGTGCTGCATGTGTTCCCCGCTGGCTTCATCCATCTGAGCAGAAGCCAAAATGCAACCGTCCCATGCTCATTACGAACACAGTAAAAAAAGGACCTTGAATGACAGCACCATGGACAACTCCTCCGTTCACCCGGAGACTTCGTGTCACTATTTTGATCTGCCGCTGAACATGTTTTAGCCTTCTCCTCCATTTACATTGTGTCATAGCCTACACTTGGATTAGCCTAGTCTGTAATTAATTAAACTGGACTGGATTATTTTACCGCACCAGCATTGCAATCCAATGCATGCACGATTTATGCAATAAACTGAGATATATTGCGGCTCAAACCAGTGTGATTAGAATGCTTATTTAGAATGTCCAGTTTTGATTGACGCAACAGTCAGCGTTTGAGCTGGCCATACTGTTTTTCAACAGAAACATTTTGCACTAACACAGTCCTTACAAACTTATGTCCTGAATGTGACCAGTTTATTTTTGGATGCAATGTTCAGACATTCACAGACGTAGCGACAGCATAACACAATCATCCAAACTGGAAAATGTAGGCTACATTAGTCCTAGCGCTAACTGAGGAAAGATTGACGTAACACAAGCGGTCATATTTACCTAACTCTCGGCTGTCAGAAACCACAATATGAATTAGCTAATAGCAATTACTATGTACAATTCATCACATCATGGGTGAGCTCACCATTGATCAAAATAATTGAGTAAAACACTTTCTAAAAATCGAAAGTAATCCGACGATGGGTAGTTTGTGACGCCACCATGTTTGTTTTTTCACGTCAACCAAAGATAATAAGAGGAGACAAGATGAGTTTGGTCTGTTCACAGTATGCATTTTGAAGGGGGCGTGTCATCTACGATCATTCACTTCCCTTCATTCACTTCCGGAAGTTTACTCGTTACACCTCATTTTGTTATAACATCTTTGGTCTAACAAACGTTGACACCCAGAATCCATTGTATAATGTCAACAATGGTGCCACACATAGCTGTAAATAGCTTAGCATTAGCTCATCATAATCAGTACAACCTTCAAAAAAGTATTTTACACACATCATAGGTGTCCATTACAATCTATGCATTAATTGGAATGCATGATTTGTCACCAGTACTTGAAAACATGTGAATAAAACTGTAAATACATTATGCTCCATACATACTACAGTAAAAACGACAACAGAAAATAAGGCATTTACTTTGATAGGAGCGCACACATGTCCAAAGTTATTATTTGTAAGGAAAACAACAATGAAGGCAATGCGAGCACCAGCCAGAAAATGTGCCACAGGGAAAATGTTTATGCAAGACTGCGCAAATATCTGCTTACCTGATCTGTGGAAACACTGGGGAAGTGCTTGGGCTCTCCTCGAAGAGAGAAGTTTGTGCAGCTCAGTAAAGCCTCAAACATAAATTGTCTGCAGCAGTGAAATGGGCTACTTCTTTGCGAATTAATGAGGAGGCAGAACCCACCTCAATTCAAACTGTTGTTAGAAAATAAAACTTGTTCGAAAATAATTTGAAAACTGAAACATAGCCTATAGATAATTAGCAGGCAGCGTGTCTTGGTTTGTGGACAACGTGGGTTAACTGTCCTGTTGCTTAACAATCACATTTTGGAACAGTGAGCGCATTCTGACATCAAGTGCATAAAAAAACTCACACCGTTAGAGATGTTTGGAAGGTTAATATTAGTTTTTAATTCCGATTTTTCAGTGGGCGCTGCAGCACCCTCAGCACCCCTACTTTCTGCGGCTATTCTTTTAGATACCCCAGATGGCATATTAATGCTGTAAGACGATGGCTTTGGCCTTCTCAAATGAGTACTCAAACAAATTCCTCTGCGTTAATATACTTATTTGAGCAATAACCGTATGAAAGAAGCAGCACTACCCTGCAAAATATGACATATTATCTTAGGCTTCATGATGGACATGGAGAATAAACCACCACCAAAGGTCTGCATTTTTTTCCACTTTTATTTTCCATTGCACAGTCATTTCTATCTACATAATTTCTAAATTGTTTGTGGCAGCAGATAAAGTCATAAACATCCATGTGAAATTTGCATAAAACTGTACAAGAAAATTGGCTACAATGAGAAAATACTGCAACCCACTGATAACTGTTAAATCCAGGACAGACATTGCATTATGGCAGACAGACTCCCTCTTGTAAATTAGTATGAATCATACCAGGTAAGAAGAATACTGCATACTGAGTGTGGACAAGAAACAACTCACTCACAGACAACAAAAAACACAGAAAATCTAACAGAAAAAGAAAAGACAGCTAGAAGGGAAGGGAAGGACCTCAATCATAGACTAGTTTTTTCCTGAAGTATTTTTTTATCCTTGGACGATTGAAGCAGGGCTACCTACCGACATCCACACAACAATGCATACTAGAACACAGAGAAGGAGACCAAACCTGTTAGTTAGTATCACCAAAATTAGCCACTTGGAAGTTTAACCAGAGTAGGAGAATGCATTAGAAGATGAGCGCGAGAGAGCTGAAGCATGATGTATGCAGACTGAGACACTGAACATGCGAGGCCGGTCTATGATGGAGCCACATTACACAGAGGTTACATCATCCTGCTGATGCAGACATCCTCTAGTTACCGTGGTTACTGAGTTGTTTCTTTTTTCTTTTTTTTTCTTTTTTCTTGGTGATTTCCCACAATTGATTGGACACAGATTGCTTGGTCATGGAAATCAAGTATTTCAGACAAGAAAGACATTGTCGATCATATAGCACAAAAAATGTCAAAGAACAATGTACAACTAAAAATAGGAAAGGAAAAGACCACAAAGTTGAAAATTTAAAGTAGACTCAGCGATATGACATAGACGCAGAAAGTAAACGGCATAGTGGGTCAATTTCCGCAACAACTAAGAGCGTTGAAGCACGATGCTCAACTTCTCCGCTATTTTGGCACCCTGGCTACCACGCTGTAACAGTGTGAAGCGAACCCACGCACATGCGCTGATACTGTGTGATTGTGTGAGAGCGAAGTCTTGCATCTCGCTCATCTCAATATCTGCTGTGCTGCTCATGGCAACGTCTACCTTTTAAAGATACTGTGCTGGTCAAAGGCTGTTTTAGAAGTTAGCCAAATACCACTTTAAAACTTTTATGAAGGGCACAATGTTGTGAATACAATAGTTGTGTTCCATTCTGAAAACTTGCTACCATCACTAGTGGCCTCACAGTTGAGTTACTGTCATCTTGCTCCAACCTAACCAGCCATCTCCTATCAGGAAGAGTCGAAAAGGTCTTAGGGAAGGAAGAATGTCTTCAGAATGGAACCTAGCCCAGTGACTGAGTCAGAATGCACAGTTCCCAAGGCCCTGTATAGACACACCTAGGCCTATTGTATTTCAATTAGTGAAACACCTGGAATGCCAAGTTGAGTAATAGAACAATGAAACGGAAGCTAAAGTAACTCTTTGGCGTCAGAAAAAATATGGCAGCTGTCCTTGTGTCGCTTGCTTGAGCAACGTCAAACACTTTTCAATTGGTTTTAGATTGTCAAACTATTTACCTATTTACAACAGAATGGTAGAGAAGCCTGGCAGAACATTGAAGGAGACACAAATGAGAGTTTTCACCAATGAAATGGGGACAGAAACAGATCTCTAAACAAAGGACGGTTCCGACACACCACACATATAGCAGCGTCTCTTACACTTCAATCAATAAAATGTGAATTAATAGACCACTCACAAAGTTATTTTATGGACAATTCTCAAAAAAACAGGTTTCTGTCTTCAAAAACGTATGACTTTGCCTGAATGTACATATACAGTCCTGCATAAATGAACACACACAAATAGGTTTTATTCCCATGTGTATATACTGTAGTAATCTCCAAGTTTACGTGCACTTCAGGATCACGTCCATACAGTATTACTCCTGAAAACCAATTCAATAGGTCTGGATACACCAGCAGTGTATAGGCCTACTGTAACACTGACATAATTCACACAGAGTCACTATTAAACCCAAACTGTAGTAGATGTTAATGGCATGAAGAGGTCAGTGAGGAAGGTACCATTTACATGTCAAATTAAACACTTCAGGGTGAGGAGACACTGACAGTCTTGCTTGTAGAGTTCTGATCTTGCTTCTAGATTTCTGATGTGTGTGTGTGTGTGTGTGTGTGTGTGTGTGTGACACCTGATATGACAAATTATTGATGGTGACGTGTACTGATCTGAATGATAAATCTATGTCTTTTGTATCCATGCCCTCTTTTTGAATCCAGCCCTTTTTATAAGGATAAATGAATGGGAGTTTGACAAAGCCACAAAACATACTGGCAACATGACCAAATAAAAATATATCATAATTCACAACGTTCACGACAATTAAGAAAAAATTAAAATAGATTTCAAGTAAAACAGACTGAGCATAAAACAAACGATAAACAAGAGGAAAGATAAATTAATACATGTATAATACAGTTGGGAACAATACAAAAACTGTGAATCCATATGATGAGGAGAGTCTAGTTGGATCAAGGAGAGAGGATCCAGTGTACATTGGAATGACTTGCTTTTTTTTTATCCTGCAACTCTCTGCATAGAGGCGGCTGTCACTATGACATCACATCCTGTGACTTTGAGTAGAGCTTCTTTTGCCCACCACCAGTTTCGCTTCACCTGTGAAGTTGTCCTCTTGTTGTTTTGCACTTGACAGTTGGAAGTGAATACAGTGTTGATCATTTATATAGATTTATGTATATATAATTATGTATATATTTTATTTTTCCTCTTTTTCCATTTTGAGATTTTTTTTGTAGTCGTTGTTTCTTCATTGTTAATTTTTTTTCTCTCAGTTGTGTCTGTTTTTGTCTTTAGTATACTGGTCCCAGATTGGTTGGAGCAGAGATGACGGCACAGAACATTTTGGCGAATGAGGATGAGGGAACCCCAGAGCTCCAGCCAACTGGCAGGCCACAGAGGGGAAAACAAACAAACAAAAGACAACAATAAAGAGGACACCTTTTTTTCTCAGTTTGTCCTTCTCTCCAGTCCGTTCCTCAGTTGAAATCTTATGACTGAGGTAAATACAGTATACAACCTTGTGCTAGGGAAGAGTATCCCACGTGTCCAGCGAAGGAAGGACAGATGGAAGGAGAGATGGATGGAGAGATGGAGGAGGGGGGCATGTAGAGTCCGGATGAAGCTGTGTCCATTTGGCTCTGCTCCCCTCTTTCAGATCAGAACTGGTACCACTTCTTGTCTTTGCACTTCAGCATCATCTGTGGAAAGACGGGAAAATGGAAAGCTAGTGTTACAGAAAACTCCCCTTTGTCTCCCTCTAGGGGCTATACATGACACTTTTGTGTTACTAGGCCTACAAGCAGTATCTTCTAGGAGTACAGGATGAAGTTGCTCCTAGATACTGATCTAAGATCAGTTTAATTTTTTGTCTCACAATGTAACGTCTCTCTTTCTTACGTCGTGGGCGTGTTTGCCAAAGGAGTCGGCGCTGGCCAGCATGGCGGCCGTCCTCTCGTCCAGCTCGCCCAATTTCTGCCCTCTCTCGTCCAGCGCTATCCGGGCACGCGCCAGGTCCGCCACCACGCCCGAGGCTGCCCCCTTCATTCCCTCCAGGCCCTGAGGACCCGGGATGTGCTGGGCAAGGCCACGGGACGCTTTACCCGCCTGCGTCTCACCAACTGAAAAGAAAAAAAAATCCAGAAAATCACATTGTAGGATTTTTAATGAATTTATTTGCAAATGATGGTGGAAAATAAGTATTTGGTCAATAACAAAAGTTTCTCAATACTTTTTTATATACCCTTTGTTGGCAATGACACAGGTCAAACGTTTTCTGTAAGTCTTCACAAGGTTTTCACACACTGTTGCTGGTATTTTGGCCCATTCCTCCATGCAGATCTCCTCTAGAGCAGTGATGTTTTGGGGCTGTCGCTGGGCAACACAGACTTTCAACTCCCTCCAAAGATTTTCTATGGGGTTGAGATTTGGAGACTGGCTAGGGCACTCCAGGACCTTGAAATGCTTCTTACGAAGCCACTCCTTCATTGCCCGGGCGGTGTGTTTGGGATCATTGTCATGCTGAAAGACCCAGCCACGTTTCATCTTCAATGCCCTTGCTGATGGAAGGACCACTCAAAATCTCACGATACATGGCCCCATTCATTCTTTCCTTTACACGGATCAGTCGTCCTGGTCCCTTTGCACAAAAACAGCCCCAAAGCATGATGTTTCCACCCCCATGCTTCACAGTAGGTATGGTGTTCTTTGGATGCAACTCAGCATTCTTTGTCCTCCAAACACGACGAGTTGAGTTTTTACCAAAAAGTTCTATTTTGGTTTCATCTGACCATATGACATTCTCCCAATCCTCTTCTGGATCATCCAAATGCACTCTAGCAAACTTCAGACGGGCCTGGACATGTACTGGCTTAAGCAGGGGGACACGTCTGGCACTGCAGGATTTGAGTCCCTGGCGGCGTAGTGTGTTACTGATGGTAGGCTTTGTTACTTTGTTCCCAGCTCTCTGCAGGTCATTCACTAGGTCCCCCCGTGTGGTTCTGGGATTTTTGCTCACCGTTCTTGTGATCATTTTGACCCCACGGGTGAGATCTTGTGTGGAGCCCCAGATCGAGGGAGATTATCAGTGGTCTTGTATGTCTTCCATTTCCTAATAATTGCTCCCACAGTTGATTTCTTCAAACCAAGCTGCTTACCTATTGCAGATTCAGTCTTCCCAGCCTGGTGCAGGTCTACAATTGTGTTTCTGGTGTCCTTTGACAGCTCTTTGGTCTTGGCCATAGTGGAGTTTGGAGTGTGACTGTTTGAGGTTGTGGACAGGTGTCTTTTATACTGATAACAAGTTCAAACAGGTGCCATTAATACAGGTAACGAGTGGAGGACAGAGGAGCCTCTTAAAGAAGAAGTTACAGGTCTGTGAGAGCCAGAAATCTTGCTTGTTTGTAGGTGACCAAATACTTATTTTCTACCATAATTTGCAAATAAATTCATTAAAAATCCTACAATGTGATTTTCTGGATTTTTTCTCCTCAATTTGTCTGTCATAGTTGACGTGTACCTATGATGAAAATTACAGGCCTCTCTCATCTTTTTAAGTGGGAGAACTTGCACAATTGGTGGCTGACTAAATACTTTTTTCCTCCACTGTATGTACATTCTGTGTATGTGTCACTCACATAGTTCCTCTCTGTCCAGGGAAGTTGCTCCTCCCCCAAAAAGGCCCTTGAAGAATCCTCGGTTGGGAGCCTCCGGGGTCTCCACTGGTGTGAACAATTCTCCCAGCATCTCCTGAAACACGCACATACACACGTAAATACACGTATGTTGATTGTATGTGTGTGTTTGCGTGCATGCGTGCGCGCCTGAGTTCTTGTGTGGGCGTATTTGTGTGGTCCTGACCTGCAGGTTCTCGCAGGTCTCCTGGCTGTATGTGATCCTCTGTATCTCAGTGGGGGAGGTGAGGTACATGGCCTGGCCCAGGTTGGTGAAGCAGAAGGTCCGGGCTATCCGCATGTCTGTCAGCGGCAGGTAGTTTACATCCAGCAACGGTCTGAGCCCCGGCAGACTGCAGACAAAGAGGGAGACCACATACAACACAGTGTTACTCAAACACAACAACATTCTACTGGGCGTGTCTAGAAAAGGAACGTTTCATCTAGAAACGTTCAGTCTAACCTTAGTATTCGATAAGCTATTGTAATATAGGTATTATCAATTAGCTTTAGTGTATGTAGCTCTCTGACCTGTGTGTGTTTGTATGGCTCACTGACTCACCTGAGGGTCATGATGTGTCCGTTAGCACAGAAGCAAGCCACACAGTTCCCTATGTTCATCTGGACCACGTCAGCCCTCAGGACGAACGATGTCTCTGTGATGCTGTGTTTGAATATGCAGTTCTGGGAGGGCAGTGCTATGACCTTAGCCTGTTTCTCAGAGCACACCACCGCATACTGGCTCTCCTGCAGCTCCTGGGAGGTGGAGGGCGACACAGAGACCGGGCGGCGTTTACGGCCTTTGTCTCGCTCCTCACTGTCGGCGCCCACAGCGTTGGGCTCGTACCACGGCTCGAAGGCAGGGGGGAGGAAGGTGCCCGTGTTGTCCAGGAAGGCCATCCTCAGGATACTGCCCTTCAGACGCCCCAGGGTACCTGGACAGATAGGGGGGATTGAGATGTTGGTGCGTTGAAAATATATCTACGTATTATCAAACTTTTGGTATGTAGATTATGTGTAGAGCGGGATGTAATGTGTGTACAGAAACATGCAAACATATAGCAAAGAGTTGTTAGCATGCCTTACGTATTCATTTGCATACTCACACAATCACACTCCCACTCATCCATTTACACATAACCCAGACACCCACCGCTAGGCAAGACGATGACGGGCTGCAGTAGTCTCTGTTCCCCAGCAGGGGGCAGGTTGAGGGCCACAGCCAGCACTGTGCCCAGGGAGGTGCCCACGTACAGGCAAGGTGTGATGGTGCTGTCCCCCTTCCGGGCGAACGTCTCACAGAAGTGGAAGGAGGTGATGGCCTCGCGTGCCTCCTTGTCAATGGAGGTGACGGAGGAGGAGCGTGAACGGCTGAAGGAGTTGTCCCGGTGGTCTAGTGGGTTGGCACCCCGTGGAGGACATACAGACAGGAGGACAGTAGAGGAGAGGGCACAGAGAGGTAAAGCACCCACACACACAGAGAGAGAATACACACAATACACAAACATACAGTACCTGAATACTGTAAACAACAGCTGTATGGTTGGTAGACTGCAGTTGGAATCTGACAAACAACATTGCGGTTAAAACATTATTGTATCACTAAGCTAAAATAGCAATTACACTCGGGAGCAGCAAACAGTGAGCAGACGTTCATTTTATACAGGTCTAAAACAGCTTTTGAAATGTAGTAAAATAGCTGTAAAATAACTTTATCAGTTGATGACAAGATGTACTGTTTTTTTTTTTTTAAGTAGAAAAAACTGTGGGGAAAACCTTTTTCCTTACGTGGCAAACTTAGAGTTTGAGGTCCAGATGGGTAAGAATGAATATAAAACTTTTATCTGTGGAGCAGATGGAACTCATAAAATTAAGAGTCGGCACATAGAGAACATTTGGCATGTAGGAAAGAGACCCATGGGAAGATTTCACTGAAACTTTACAACTTTGTACTTGTCTTATTTTATTTATCAGTTAAAAACAACTCACCCATCATCAAAATCTTAAACGAGGTGTCAATATAATACGCTAATACAGTCTTATTAGTCTTAATAACTACTTGTGAGTTGCTAATGATTAAGTTAATAAGAATTAATGGGATGATGAATTAACAAAATTTTATAAATAATGTATAAACACTTAGTTAGTGTGTTATATGTCGACACCTCAAAAATTTTTTTACCAGTCTATCATATCCCTGCATCAGACATATTTGGCATATTCGATAAGGTGCTGACCCAATACCCCTCTCTTTCCCATCTAAGGGTTTCTGCCATTTGGGCATCCTAGGAAGGTAATTGTGCTTTTCGATTTGGGTAAACTGTTCAGATAAAAACAAAATTAAAGAAGGACGTTTTGTTCTGTCGTTGCATCTGTCGGTCACCTATAAGAAAACGTTTGATCTTTTGGAAAGGACTAATCACAAAAGAAACAAGTAGAGATACAGAAAAGGGGAAGAGAAAGCTGAACACACACACATACACAGAAAGCTCTATTGCAACAGTGTGCTGGTTAGTTTAGCGTAGCAATTTGTAAAATATCCAACCAAAAAGTGCTGTAGTAGAACTTTTGGTAAGCTCTCTACAAAAAAAGGTGCTGTATGTCTGTCCTCTCCCCCTCTTATCTCCAGGTTTATCTCAAGAAGTAGCAGATAGACTGCCAAATGATGATTGTTAGTTAGTCTGAATATGGAAATCCATAGGACACATCTATCCTTTTGGTAGTCATGAGTCCATCAACAGGGCTTTTTGCCAAACCCTAGTGCAATATACAGTGGGGAGAACAAGTATTTGATACACTGCCGATTTTTCAGGTTTTCCTACTTACAAAGCATGTAGAGGTCTGTAATTTTTATCATAGGTACACTTCAACTGTGAGAGACGGAATCTAAAACAAAAATCCAGAAAATCACATTGTAAGATTTTTAAGTAATTAATTTGCATTTTATTGCATGACATAAGTATTTGATACATCAGAAAAGCAGAACTTAATATTTGGTACAGAAACCTTTGTTTGCAATTACAGAGATCATACGTTTCCTCTAGGTCTTGACCAGGTTTGCACACACTGCAGCAGGGATTTTGGCCCACTCCTCCGTACAGACCTTCTCCAGATCCTTCAGGTTTCGGGGCTGTCGCTGGGCAATACGGACTTTCAGCTCCCTCCAAAGATTTTCTATTGGGTTCAGGTCTGGAGACTGGCTAGGCCACTCCAGGACCTTGAGATGCTTCTTACGGAGCCACTCCTTAGTTGCCCTGGCTGTGTGTTTCGGGTCGTTGTCATGCTGGAAGACCCAGCCACGACCCATCTTCAATGCTCTTACTGAGGGAAGGAGGTTGTTGGCCAAGATCTCGCGATACATGGCCCCATCCATCCTCCCCTCAATACGGTACAGTTGTCCTGTCCCCTTTGCAGAAAAGCATCCCCAAAGAATGATGTTTCCACCTCCATGCTTCACGGTTGGGATGGTGTTCTTGGGGTTGTACTCATCCTTCTTCTTCCTCCAAACACGGCGAGTGGAGTTTAGACCAAAAAGCTCTATTTTTGTCTCACCAGACCACATGACCTCCCATTCCTCCTCTGGATCATCCAGATGGTCATTGGCAAACTTCAGACGGGCCTGGACATGCGCTGGCTTGAGCAGGGGGACCTTGCGTGCGCTGCAGGATTTTAATCCATGACAGCGTAGTGTGTTACTAATGGTTTTCTTTGAGACTGTGGTCCCAGCTCTCTTCAGGTCATTGACCAGGTCCTGCCGTGTAGTTCTGGGCTGATCCCTCACCTTCCTCATGATCATTGATGCCCCACGAGGTGAGATCTTGCATGGAGCCCCAGACCGAGGGTGATTGACCGTCATCTTGAACTTCTTCCATTTTCTAATAATTGCGCCAACAGTTGTTGCCTTCTCACCAAGCTGCTTGCTTATTGTCCTGTAGCCCATCCCAGCCTTGTGCAGGTCTACAATTTTATCCCTGATGTCCTTACACAGCTCTCTGGTCTTGGCCATTGTGGCGAGGTTGGAGTCTGTTTGATTGAGTGTGTGGACAGGTGTCTTTTATACAGGTAACGAGTTCAAACAGGTGCAGTTAATACAGGTAATGAGTGGAGAACAGGAGGGCTTCTTAAAGAAAAACTAACAGGTCTGTGAGAGCCGGAATTCTTACTGGTTGGTAGGTGATCAAATACTTATGTCATGCAATAAAATGCAAATTAATTACTTAAAAATCATACAATGTGATTTTATGGATTTTTGTTTTAGATTCCGTCTCTCACAGTTGAAGTGTACCTATGATAAAAATTACAGACCTCTACATGCTTTGTAAGTAGGAAAACCTGCAAAATCGGCAGTGTATCAAATACTTGTTCTCCCCACTGTATGTATACAAACTACATAAGGTTATATTCATGGATAGTAACCTAAATATGGAACTCATATTATTCCCTTGAGATGCTCATATCGTGAGACCATTTGGACTTGAGGATACAGTGAAGTCCAGTTTTTCTAAAAAAATAATTAAGAAAAGCAAAATTGTAAACACGAAGTTAAGGCTTACCCAAGTCTGGCTTTAGCTCAGTAGGCAAGCTTAATTTCCGAGACATCTTTGCTGGAAAAAAGAGAACATCCCTCTTTACAAACACACCTAAGCTAACACGACAGGCCATGCAAAGCTAGCTAGGAGCTAGGAGTTGGGAGCTAGCAGCTAGGACTGGGCTGTGGTTGTGCTTATAGCGTTACTATACATACACATAAGCTTAGACAAAAGCTTTGGCTTTGGTATAACTGTTGGGCATTGCTTCATTGTGCTTCAGGGGAGGCAAAATGCTTTAGAATGAAATAGGAAGGAAGCATTAGAGCATCAGAGGAAGACAACTCTGTTGAATCAAAGATGAATGCTGGAACGGACAAAATAACAACAAGGAAGTAAGCTGTCATATGTCGCACACACAGTGCCCTGGAAGAGAGGAATCATAAGAAGATACACATTCATTCAGAACCCCTCACCACAGGAGCATGCACCGAGGACAGGAAGGAAACAGGAAACAGGAAGTGAGCAGGAAGTGAGCATGATGGAAGAAGGCAGTGGAAGGACAGTACAGTACAATCAGAGAAGGTGTATCTCTGGTGGGGCCTACAAGGCACTGTTAGCTAGGTAGTCAGAACTACGTTAACTTTTGGAGCCTCCTGAGCTTATTACAGTCCATTTATATTCCTTATTAACTAATGTTAGAGACACCTTGCACACAGAATTTGTCTTGTAAGCAAAGACAGCACTTCTTAAACTGATAATGTCCCCTAAATCTATGAGGTAGAGAATGATAGTGAATTTAAACCTTGCTGCAAAGTCAACGGTGTTGGACAGACAGAAGACAGAGTTGGACAAGAACAGATTGACTACAAATAGACTGCTGTGATGTCATAACTACAGACAGACAGACAGCCAATCAGGAGCGGGGGTGAAGGTGGAACAATCGTTGAGGCTGATAAGGACATTTGCCACAGGCACATTTCACGACGTGACATTCGTGCTACAAACATGTAGCATGCAATGGAGGTCTAGGGTATACCGTTCTAAGTGTGTCTCTGTGTGGGTGTGTGCATGTTATTTTAGTTTTATTCTAAGTCAAACAGTGATTCAGTGCCACTGAGGTGACTATGAAACAGAGACAGAGACAGGTTGCTAGAAGAAAACAGGGGCGGACACCTTATTTTATACAGTGTACTATCCCTGACCAAACTACTCCAGGGTTGAAGTCTTTGGCCACTCTTACCTCCTCTACCCCCACCTCCATTGTAGAATTGCTGATGGTTTGACGCCAACACTTTTGAGAGGAAGTAGATAAACGTGAAGTTAGAAACATCCTGGTACTTTACCATACCGCCTACCAGTCACTGTTCCCGAAATGTGTCCATTCGTGGAAGGACTGTTTTTCGTCTTGTTATCATTGTAACACGTAAACCAATTGGTAGCAGTTTTCCTCAATCTTCAGTTTCAACAATACCTGGGTGCATGCAGAATATTTGTTGACATAGTGTACATTTTTGCTCAGACTACTTATTTTCTTAGCGGCACAAATCTATAAAGCCTTGTTGACTCTCCCGACGACTCTATAATCTTAATTAGGAGGAGACATATGCTCAAGGCAAGACTGGATATCAGATATGCCATCCTCATAAATAGCAGGTGAACTGAGGCAGTGTCTAGCTAGCAACACCAGATGTTGGGGGTTGGCGTAGTTGACTGAACACCTGGAACATTGCTAGAAGTAGGACTTCAGTCTTGGGACAACTTATTTTTTTCTGTGTGACCTTTTAAAAATCAGCTCAGCTCTGTGTTTTAGCCCCAATGTCTGTGTGTTAATGTCAAGCTCCCAGTAATAAGATGGAACTGGGTTGTTCTCTCATTAGCATGCCTCGTCACCTCAAATGCTAATTTAGCAAACCGAGAATAATCATCCAGGGCAGGGCATCGAGGAAGCACCTTGTCTTGACAGTAACTGTGGAGGGGACTAGAACGATTTGTTTGTGCAAATCTAACAAAGGGCAGATGTTTGAAAAGTGTTGTTTGTTGTTGACCTGTGTATGACCATGTTCCATATACTTTAGATAATAAATACAGATGTAGTTTGTCAACAATCTATAATTGAATCTGCATCTCCTAGCTACATGATCAGATCTCACCTGGAACTCACAGGAAGGTTTTCAGTTTCATTTAATTTCTAGATCTGAAAATGCCACAGCATTATATGAATAAAACCAACTGGCAAGGAAACTACTACATCAGGTCCTATAAACGTCCAAACGAAATATGAGGTCTGGAAGACACAGACAAAATCCTAGATAGAAAAAAAATGTATCTTGGCAAATCGTAGAATGGTAGAAAAAGCATTTTTCTCATTTTAATGGGATTATTGAGGTTGTCCAAGATTGTGAAGGTCCATATAAACTAACCCTCCTTATAAACTAATATCCTATTTGGTAGGAATCAATACATTTCTATCTTGGACTGACCTCAGAGTACTTATTCACTAATTCAGTGAGTTTTATGGTCCTTAACTGTCTAGGCAATTCAGAATCATAGCGGCCACTCCACAGTTTACTGCTTATGTCCCAGGTTTTGATAAAACATCTTAAAACTGCCAAAATCAATCAAATTAATTTTTTATGCTTATTTCTATTTTATTGAAAGTATGAAGTGTCAGTACACAACTGAGACCTGTAAAAAAAGAATTATTTAAACCCAAAAACCTCCAGTTGTAACTTCACCCTTCAATAAAGTCTGCCTGAAATCAAACTTTCAGTCAGAGAATTGTAACACTTTTGGTTTTATAGAAAAGGTTCCCACATCCAAAGGTGTGAGTGTGACATCTCAGAGAGAACCATATTTACCAATAGCAGCCAAATCTCGCTCATGCATTCTAATAGAATTACATGCAAATACACTATATACACTACCATTCAAAAGTTTGGGGTCACATAGAAATGTCCTTGTTTTCGAAAGAAAAACATTTTTTTTGTCCATTACAATAACATCAAATTGATCAGAAATACAGTGTAGACATTGTTAATGTTGTAAATGGCTATTGTAGCTGGAAACTGCAGATTTTTTATGGGATATCTACATAGGCGTACAGAGGCCCATTATCAGCAACCATCAGTCCTGTGTTCCAATGGCACGTTGTGTTTGCTAATCCAAGTTTATCAATTGAAAAGGCTAATTGATCATTAGAAAACCCTTTTGCGATTATGTTAGCACAGCTGAAAACTGTTGTGCTGATTAAAGAAGCAATACAACTGGCTTTCTTGAGACTACATTACATTTACATTTTAGTCATTTAGCAGACGCTGTTATCCAGAGCGACTTACAGTTAGTGAGACCATACATTATAATTTTTTTTTATTTTTTTATACTGGCCCCCTGTGGGAATCGAACCCACAACCCTGGCGTTGCAAACGCCATGCTCTACCAACTGAGCTACATCCCTGCCGGCCATTCCCTCCCCTACCCTGGACGACGCTGGGCCAATTGTGAGCCGCCTCATGGGTCTCCCGGTCACGGCCGGCTACGACAGAGCCTGGATTCGAATCAGGATCTCTAGTGGCACAGCTAGCACTGTGATGCAGTGCCTTAGACCACTGCGCCACTCGGGAGACTAGATGAGTATCTGGAGCATCAGCAATTGTGGGTTCGATTACAGGCTCAAAATGGCCAGAAACAAATAACTTTCTTCTGAAACTCATCAGTCTATTCTTGTTCTGAGAAATGAAGGCTATTCCATGCGAGAAATTGCCAAGAAACTGAAGATCTTGTACAACGCTGTGTACTACTCCCTTCACAGAACAGCGCAAACTGGCTCTAACCAGGAATAGAGTGGGAGGCCCCGGTGCACAACTGCGCAAGAGGACAAATACATTAGTGTCTAGTTTGAGAAACAGACGCCTCACAGGTCCTCAGCTGGCAGCTTCATTAAATAGTACCTCCGGGATACTGATCTTCTAGCCAGAGTTGCAAAGAAAAAGCCATATCTCAGACTAGCCAATAAAAAGAAAAGATTAAGATGGACAGTCTGAGATATGGCTTTTTCTTTGCAACTCTGCCTAGAAAATCAGTATCCCGGAGTCGCCTCTTCACTGTTGACATTGAGACTGGTGTTTTGCGGGTACTATTTAATGAAGCTGCCAGTTTCTCGCATGGAATAGCCTTCATTTCTCAGAACAAGAATAGACTGACGAGTTTCAGAAGAAAGTTATTTGTTTCTGGCCATTTTGAGCCTGTAATCGAACCCACAATTGCTGATGCTCAAGAAACTCAACTAGTGTCAAGAAGGCCAGTTTTATTGCTTCTTTAATCAGCACAACAGTTTTTAGCTGTGCTAACATAATTGCAAAAGGGATTTCTAATGATCAATTAGCCTTTTAAAATGATAAACTTGGATTAGCAAACACAACGTGCCATTGGAACACTGGACTTATGGTTGCTGATAATGGGCCTCTGTACGCCTATGTAGATCTGCCATTACAAATCAGCCATTTCCAGCTACAATCGCCATTTACAACGTTAACAATGTCTCCACTGTATTTCTTTTTTTTTCAACAAGGACATTTCTAAGTGACCCCAAAATGTTGAACGGTAGTGTATATACAAAAATATGTGGACACCCCTTCAAATTAGTGGATTTTTTGGGGGCCAGGCCTAATCTTCCAACATCAGTGCCCGACCTCACTAATACTCTTGTGGCTGAATGGAAGCAAGTCCCCGCAGCAATGTTCCAACATCGAGTGGAAAGCCTTCCCAGAAGGCTGTTATAGCAGCAAAGGGGGGACCAACTCCATATTAATGCCCATCGACGAGCAGGTGTCCACATCCTTTTGGTCATGTAGTGTATGTACTACCTGTTGTTTACACTGAATTCATAATTTTCAGGTTAGGTCAATATACAGTCTTCAAGTGAATCATGCTTATTATCCACAACCCACCTGTTACTAAACAATGGGTTGTGGGTAAAGTCAGTAGGTGTTGTAACTGATGTGGGTACCAGTGTAACGCTAACTCTAATATGCTGAAAGACAGTTTACCTGAAGTGGGGGATTTGCAGCGGTCCTCCGAGGCAGAACTCTCGTTGATGTCACACAGACCTGTTGCAGAAGAGACAGACATTGCACAACATTAGATATCATTATCATCAAACAACAGATTACATGTACTCTGTCCCTTTCTGTTTGATAAGGATGTCATGATATGTAGGTTTAATTTGAGTATAGCGCCATTTTCTCTGTCTGCCAAAGAGACCAGAGCTGAAACAGACTAAACAGACTGCTATCCAAGCCATTGCCCTTGTGCTGTGCCATTGCCCCAGCCTTCCTGTACATAGAGCCAGAAGGCCTAGTCCCAGACAGACAGACAGACCCAAGCCAGACTCTAATCCTGTGGGTAGGACAGACAGAACAGCTGGAGAAGTCATTACTGCTAAGACCCCACACTCTGACAGGTGCCAGCCCACTGCTAACCAAAGTCAATTACACCAGATGCTGCACACACACACACACACACACACACATACTTCTAATTTCCTCACCAAGCTGTTGCTAAGCCACGCAGGTTACAGAGTCAGTACACCACAGTGGTTATTGGCATTGATTTGGTGATGCTGGAGACTGTAGTACCATCACTGAACAAAAGGTGGCAGTATGTCATAATGCAGTCAGTGATGCTGCTGTCTGTCAATAACACCACAGCGCTGCACTGACAGGGTGTGTGTAGGAGGGATGGGGCGTTTATGTGTCTGAGTGTGTGTGTGCCAGCCAGGCACTACAGAGAGAAGATGATGTACTGAATCATCAAAAGAACAATTTAGATACCATTCAAAATCCTATCAAGGATTTGCAAAGATACAGAGACGGAGGAGAGGAGACAGAGAACATCATACAACATCGTCACCACCACCATTGCTATTTTTTGACTGCCTACATGTGCATGTGATACAGCCTGAACAGTCGTTAAGCACATCTACCAAGTATACCTTTCATCCTTGTAACATCGTATAAGACTGCATCAGCCTATATCTACATAACTATAAGTAATAGTATAATTAAGATGACATAAACCATATCTAGTATTAGACTACAAAAGACTGTACTGTAAGGCCATATATAGTACAAGCCTACATAAAGCTATCTGCTTGGTGGTAAATCAGTGAACTGGTAACAGTCTTTACCATTACCTCCGGAAGGCTGGCGTGTCTTGCGTGGAGAGCGAGGCTGTCTCTGATAGGGATCGTTAGACCCATACAGCTCCACTGTCCCCAGGTTCAACAACACTGTCTTCTGGAGGTAGTCCACCACCGCCAGACCATTACTGTTCCCAAACACAATCCTGTTGGAGAGAAGAAGGGGAGGGGGAGAGAGAGTGAGAGAGGAGAGAGAGAGTAGGGGTAGAGGAGAGAAGGAGACGTAGAGAGAGGGAGATATAAAAACAGATATGAGATTGGGGTTCAGATGAGATGTACAGTGGGGAAAAAAAGTATTTAGTCAGCCACCAATTGTGCAAGTTCTCCCACTTAAAAAGATGAGAGAGGCCTGTAATTTTCATCATATGTACATGTCAACTATGACAGAGAAATTGAGGAAAAAAAATCCAGAAAATCACATTGTAGGATTTTTAATGAATTTATTTGCAAATTATGGTGGAAAATAAGTATTTGGTCAATAACAAAAGTTTCTCAATACTTTGTTATATACCCTTTGTTGGCAATGACACAGGTCAAACGTTTTTTGTAAGTCTTCACAAGGTTTTCACACACTGTTGCTGGTATTTTGGCCCATTCCTCCATGCAGATCTCCTCTAGAGCAGTGATGTTTTGGGGCTGTCGCTGGGCAACACGGACTTTCAACTCCCTCCAAAGATTTTCTATGGGGTTGAGATCTGGAGACTGGCTAGGCCACTCCAGGACCTTGAAATGCTTCTTACGAAGCCACTCCTTCGTTGCCCGGGCGGTGTGTTTGGGATCATTGTCATGCTGAAAGACCTAGCCACGTTTCATCTTCAATGCCCTTGCTGATGGAAGGAGGTTTTCACTCAAAATCTCACAATACATGGCCCCATTCATTCTTTCCTTTACACGGATCAGTCGTCCTGGTCCCTTTGCAGAAAAAGCCCCAAAGCATGATGTTTCCACCCCCATGCTTCACAGTAGGTATGGTGTTCTTTGGATGCAACTCAGCATTCTTTGTCCTCCAAACACGACGAGTTGAGTTTTTACCAAAAAGTTATATTTTGGTTTCATCTGACATTCTCCCAATCCTCTTCTGGATCATCCAAATGCACTCTAGCAAACTTCAGACGGGCCTGGACATGTACTGGCTTAAGTAGGGGGACACGTCTGGCACTGCAGGATTTGAGTCCCTGGCGGCGTAGCGTGTTACTGATGGTAGGCTTTGTTACTTTGGTCCCAGCTCTCTGCAGGTCATTCACTAGGTCCCCCCGTGTGGTTCTGGGATTTTTGCTCACCGTTCTTGTGATCATTTTGACCCCACGGGGTGAGATCTTGCGTGGAGCCCCAGATCGAGAGAGATTATCAGTGGTCTTGTATGTCTTCCATTTCCTAATAATTGCTCCCACAGTTGATTTCTTCAAACCAAGCTGCTTACCTATTGCAGATTCAGTCTTCCCAGCCTGGTGCAGGTCTACAATTTTGTTTCTGGTGTCCTTTGACCCTCTTTGGTCTTGGCCATAGTGGAGTTTGGAGTGTGACTGTTTGAGGTTGTGGACAGGTGTCTTTTATACTGATAACAAGTTCAAACAGGTGCCATTAATACAGGTAACGAGTGGAGGACAGAGGAGCCTCTTAAAGAAGAAGTTACAGGTCTGTGAGAGCCAGAAATCTTGCTTGTTTGTAGGTGACCAAATACTTATTTTCCACCATAATTTGCAAATAAATTCATAAAAAATCCTACAATGTGATTTTCTGGATTTTTTTTTCTCAATTTGTCTGTCATAGTTGGCGTGTACCTATGATGAAAATTACAGGCCTCATCTTTTTAAGTGGGAGAACTTGCACAATTGGTGGCTGACTAAATACTTTTTTTCCCCACTGTAGCTAGATCTACCAGAAAGCAAAGCAGCAGAAGTCTCAGTCTGAATTTCCCAGCGGACATAACTTGTGTTGACACGGCTTGATTCCATTCAGCTGTACGAGGGAAATCATATCAAACAGGCCCAAATCTAGGGCTCACAACCACATTTTGACTCTTTGAATTGAGGACTTGTTACTCAAGCTGAGATATAGACCACTCCTTGAAACTTATCTTACTTTTACAGTGTCCTTGGTTGGTTTGCACACAGCTCCATATTTAAGTGCCATATTGGGTCGTTTCATTAGGGTGTACAGTAAATCTCATATAGATACACTGTCTATCACCTTATACTTACAGGCCGTAGGAGGAGTTGAGGGCCAGGCTGGTGATCTGTTGGGGGGGCTCTCCACTCACCCACACCAGCTGCACCACCAACTCTACCTGGTACCCTGGAGACTGCTTCAGAGGGGTACTACGCACCCTACAGATAGAGAGAGAAGGAGAGGAAGAGAAAGAAAGAGAGAGAGGGGGGGGGGGGGGGGGGGGGGTGAGAGAATGAGACCGTTCTTGTATTGGATAGTCTGTGGGTGGGTAGCTAAGTTGTGCGTCCCAATGCCACACTTTGTTGCAGAGAGGGAATGTGTGTGTATGATATGTACTGTATGTGACGCTGTGGTGGTGCAGGGTGCATACTTAAGGCAGGGTACGTTGTCTCGGACCCCGTCAGAGGAGTTGCTGCTGGTGGAGGGGTGTGTCGGGGGTCCGGTGGTCTGGGGGCTGGGTGAGGCTGCTCCGGGGGTGGGCAGGTCACGGTCCCCCCCGCCTCCCCCCTCTGGAGGGGACTCCATGTCATTCACCTCGTACTGCAAACGCACCTCCAACAGCTTGGGAACACACACATACACACACATTCCACAAACTCAATTATGAAAGTTCAGTAGCCATTACTTCAGTATGACTAAAACACCTTCTGAGCAGGGACTCTTCATCTATAATGACACCTACAAATGGTCTCAGCACGTCAATCTGGTGAGTGGCTTTGCCTCTCTGGTGTGTGTGTGTGTGTGTGTGTGTGCTCACGGGGGTGATTGCAGGGTCAAGGAGGTGCTCTGAAGCAGAGCTATCCCAGGGTTTTCTTCTAAGTCCTCCTTCAGGCTACTGGACTCCCACACACCCACCCACACACACACTCCACCCGCTACAGAGTTAAGACCCTGCATGTCAGATCACCTTCCCCCCCAACCCCCCACACACACAACCAATCACCAGTGCACCCACAGGCCTCGAAGCAGTGCATGATGGGAGTCTAATTAGCCCTATTGGAATGTGTATGTGATGCTGATCTGTGCCCTCTTCTCTCTCTCTCTCTCTCTCTCTCTCTCTCTCTCTCCCTTCATCTCTCTGTATCTGGGGTTGGGGGTAAAGATTGCCCTGTGAGAAGAGAAGCTCCTCTCCTAATTATAAGATTCACTTCGGCTTAAACTCTGCTCTCAATCTCTCCACAGCTCACATACTTGACACAGACAGACACACACACACACACACACACACACAGACAGACACAGACACACACCCCAGACCCAAGGCATCATTGCTAACCAAATGCATACCCACTGACATAATGCTGATAAGGCTGCATTAGCTTCATATCATTATCTGCATTCCAACAACTCACATCACTTCACTTCTCATAGCTGCCACAAAATGAAAAATGTATGCACTCACTAACTGTAAGTCGCTCTGTATAAGAGCGTCTGCTAAATGACTAAAATGTAAAAAATGTAAATGTAAAATAATGATACACTGGTTAGGTTGTTTACCGTGTGTCTGTTGTCATGGCAACCGTATTGTGTTCTTACTGGCTGGAGACTCATCTAATAGGGCATTGGGAGGTAATCACTGTCTCTAGGAACAGCCTTCAGGACACGAGATACATCACTTAACCACTAATGACGCTGCTCAGTAAGGGAGAATCTAGCTGTATACAGGTGGCTATATTTACCACTACACTATTTGTATGTTGTCATGGCATCCATACTGCCAGGCTATAAGCATAAAGAATAAATGGGTATGTTTCTCAGTTTACACTATCCAACAATTCCATATGGTAAGTACAGAGAAATGGTGAACACACACACGCGCACACACACACACACACACACACTGACCCACCTGTACAACCTCGGTGGTGATCTCCTGCTTGCTGAAGCGGTATATGATGAGGTTGGCAGACACCCCGGCCACACACAGCATCCTGCTCTCAGGACACCAGGCCATGATCTGGATGGCAAACGGGTCCTCATCCACAATCTCTGTGTTCTGCTTGTCCTCCTTATTATTCCTGCTCTTCTCAAACACCTTGGCCGTCTTCAGCTTGTACAGTACCTGGAGCATTACTGGGAAAAGATAGGAGAGAGCTCAGTTACACACCAGAGACATTGGTAGACCGTACAGAGTTGGGAAACTGTGCTCCATGTTGACTCCATGTTGACAATCACTCTTTAAGGCCATCTAGGCCAAGATATTACACATAAGGAAGGCCATGTAAAGGCACTTACTTGCAGAAGCATCCCAAAACTTCACAGTCCCATCAGCATGCCTGTGAATCGTAAAGAAAAAGAGAGGAAAAGGGCGAAGAAAGGAGAGGGGGCAGAGAAACAGAGAGGGAATAATTAAGACTTCAGCTTTCTGCACACACACCCACAGCTCTAATGATTCAGCTTGGCTTTACCTCTGATTATATTCTAGATTCACCTCTACAGAAGAATACATCGACATGAGAGGAGAGACAATCACCCTGTCTCTCAATGGTGCAATGCATTCTGGAATTGTCCTGTATAGTCTGCACTCGGTGTCACTGGCACTTGGTGTCACTCGGAGTCCTCCAATCTCTCTTTTTTTATTTTTGCCATTTCAGCTGAACAGAGAGTTGGAGACAGAGAGAGTGGTACATTCTTAGAATCCGTTTCTGGTTTCTAGTAGAGCCCTTTTTGGTTCAAGGTAGAACTATTTTGGGTTCCATGTAGAACCCTCTGTGGAAAGGGTTCTACATTGAACCCAAAAGGGTTCTACCTGGAACAAAAGGGTTCTACCTACAACCAAAAAGGGTTCTTCAAAGGGTTCTTCTTTGGGAGCAGCCAAAGAACCCTTTTTGGTTCTAGATAGCACCTTTTTTTTCTAAGAGTGTACTTTGTTTTGGTTCCAGGTGGAACCCTTTTGATTCCAGATATAAAACTTTTGGGTTCCATGTAGAACCCTTTCCACAGAGGGTTCTACATGGAACCCCAAAAGTGTTCTACCTGGAACCAAAAAGGGTTATTGTATGGGGACAGCTGAATAACCATTTTGGAACCCTTTTTTCTAAGAGTGTAAAAGGCTTCTTCTCCTTGTCTCTGAGTTTTTTTCCATCATGACTGCTAGGCAGGATGGGGAAAGGCAAAATGGTTAAATAGAGTTGGTCTCCTACCCAGTGATGATGATCTCAGGGTAGCTCTGTGTGCCAAGGCCCCAGTTACCACCACTGATGGGCCACTCCTGCACAACACAATACAGCAAACAAGACAACACAATAAATTGTCATTATTGAGATTGATACATTCTGTATGTATAAGGAATCAGTAATAAGATAATTTCAGATACAATCTAGCTATCCTACACAAACAGTATAAAAGATGATGAGAGCATTGGAATGAGACAGGAGGGAATCAAGAGGAGGGAGACAAATGCCTTCTCTTAGCCACTGGACTCCAGGCTGGGCTGATGGGACGTCATTTGTCTGAGAGATAGAGGGAGAGGGAACCTTTACAATGGTGACAGACACAGTCGAGGAAAGGGATGAGTAATGCTTAGGTCAGTGTGAGTGAGTGAGTGAGTGAGTGAGTGAGTGAGTGAGTGAGTGAGTGAGTGAGTGAGTGAGTGAGTGAGTGAGTGAGTGAGTGAGTGAGTGAGTGTGTGTGTGTGTGTGCGTGTGCACGTGCATGCACGTGTGCGTGTGTGTGTATGTGTCTGAGAGAGTGTGAATGTGTTTTTTAGGTTGTGTTAAATGCAGTAGCACATACAAAGGTCAGTGGTATGACTCAACATTGATCTTTCAGTAAGAACACTTCCCACAACTACCCCTTACTTAACAAACAGCAGAAAGAAACAGGGAAGGAGAGAAAGGGATGGAGGGAGGAGAGGGTCAGGACATGGTGACATTTCCAACAGCGGGGGAGAATATAACAAGAATACAATGACATAAAAAGGGGCAGAACAGAGATACTGTAGGATAAATGAAAGGATAAATGTATACATTTGAAAAGAAAAAACATTCAGGAGATAGGATCTGGAACAGGGTGGGGATTGGAATGTAGAATATAATGGGATAGATTATATACTGTATAAAATTCAACGTAAACAATGATGGGATATGATGGTATAGCACATAGCACAGTACTGAATATTACGTACTGGGCCGGCCCTGGGCATAAGTGACATAAGCGGGTGCTTAAGGCCACCGGCTGCATGGGGGCCCCCAACCCAATTATATATTTTTTAAATGTGGAACTCAGCAGGGGTCTCAATTTACTGGTGAGTGTTAGATAGTAGAAATGTTAGTTGTGCATCAGCAGTTTCTCTTGTAATGTCAGTCACTGACAGTCACTCAATTAGCCCATGTCAGCTAAAATAAATGTAATTGGTAAGTTAGTCTAGCCAGCTATCTACACCTTGTAGTAATCATGGCTGAATTACTGACCAGGCACGCAGGGCATGTGCCAAGGGGCGCTGACCTCCAGGGGGCCCCCATTGATTTTGTTAGCCACTCGCACTCAGCTATCATATGAGCATAAGTCATCGCAGAATGTGTAGAATTGCAGGAAATGTGCTTTAAAACTGCACATTTTCTCTTCACCCGATGGCAACATTTGTAGAACTGCAGGAAATTAGCTTTGAAACTGCAAAATGTTCTGTCCGCCCCATGGCACAATGAGTAGAATTGCATGAAATGAGTTTTAAAACTGCAAAAGCAAATCTCCACCCCATGGCAAAATGTGTAGAATGGCCAAAAATGTGCTTTAAAACCACAGCATTTTCTCTTCGCCTCATGGCAAAACGTGTACAATTGCAGGAAATTAACTGTTTGAAACGTCTCTCCGTCGTCAAGAGGGGGACCACTAAAATGTTTTACACGCGAGGTAAAACCCAAAAAAACTAATCTTGCTTAGGGCGCCCAAAAAGCTAAGTAGCCGAGAAGGTGTAGTATAGAGATGTGTTTTCCCGTACCTTTTTGCTGTAGCCCTGTCGTTTCTGTCTGGAGCCAACAGAGTAAAGTGCGGGTATGAGGTCCACAGGGCAGTCAGCAAAGTACTCACAGCAGGTCACAGGAGACTCGTGGATGGTCAGTGGATAGGGGTTCTCGAATATGGGGTAACTGGGAGAGGGGAAATGTTGACACAAGAGTTTTGTTCAGGACAAAGTTATATTTAGCTCTCAGTTTAAGTCCCTATAATGCTAGGCCATGTACAAATCATAGAAACTGTAAGAGATGCATGCAACATAATGAAAATGAATGAAAGTACAGAATCAAAGCTAAATCTACAGCGACAACAAGTATACTACCTGTTTGTGACATAGTTATAACAGCATGTAGGCAGTAATAACTGTTGTATTTTAAATGAAGAGGAGCATTCAGGAAGTCAGAATAATACAGTAGCTACAGTACATCCTTTATGTTAATACAGCATGTTCAGTTTGTTAACAGACATACCCATTTTGTGCAAGGTCGATCACCACTAAATCCTTTTCTAGAAGGACCACTACAGCATAAGGTTCCTGAAAATCTGAACAGAAAACAAACAACAAAAAGTAAGATGGAGGTCATTCCTCAACACAATACACTATGTAGGGTATATTCACTGTAAATCTTCTCCTCTGATATCTACAATTCTCAAAGGACATCATGAGTGCCTTCAAGATGTTGACAAAATAAATTAGCTTGAGGCTTTGTACATTAGGAATATATAGTAACATTTAAAGTGCATATCAATATTAAACTGAATATGAGTTTACATGTTTGATTATGGAACATAATTTTGCTAAATAAAGCTTTGGATGAAAATGAACTGAGCTGTAGGAATATGAGAGAATACATCAGACCTGAAATGCCTATACTGTACATAAGGCAGAACAATAGCAGTATGCTGTTGGAGGTGGTAGGAAGAAAATGCAGTGTTCTTTTGTTGGCATCTGAGGCAGCAAGAGGACGATGTGTGTGTTTGTGTGTTAGTGTGTGTTTATGTGTGTATGTGTGTGGGTGGGTGCATGCATGCATGTGTGCATGTGTGTGTGGGTGCATACGTGCGTGTGCGTGAGGTGTGTGCAGAGAGAACAGTGTGTGAGCTAGAAGCCTTGAACATGTATTCAGTGTCTTCACTTCCAAGTCAGTGCAGCTACAGGCTGTAACTCCCCATTGAAACACATTGTATACCAGGGCAGCCACAATCAATGTCCCTCTCTCACCAACTCCCTCTTGCCTTCTCTCACTATCTCCTTTTGTCTGTTAGAATGTTCCAGACATTCTCTAAGTGTTTCTCATTCTTTGGTGTCTGTCGCTATGTCTGTCAGTCCATCTACGTCCAGCTGTCTGTGCTGCCTGCCTGCCTGCCAATATCTGTTAGTTTGTATATCTCTCTGTCATTGATCTGTCTCTGATCTTTCCATATGACCACACAAAAAGCCTACATTCCATAATAAAAATATAAAATGATCATGTTCCATAACATCATCCCCCTCCTCCCTGTCTCTCACAGTAACAGCAGATTGAGCCAGTGGTGGAGTAATCAGCCCAGTATTGTCTCCATAACGAGATGAAATCAAAGCATCCCAACATCAGGTCGTTCGCCATGGTCACCATTACGTAACCATCGTCAGATCGTCTGCTAAACCATTTCCTCGAGCCCCCACGTCATCCCCAAACACAACACACACACTTCAAGCTACACACACACACACACACACACACACACACTTCAAGCTACAGCACACACACTTTTTGAATGAGCTACATCCACATGACTTAGCCCCCATTTGCTGCGGTTAAGATGCACTCTCATCCTCTTTACACCCATTCACACATGCATATCGACAGTAAACTGCCTAAGGATATTCATCATTGTTTATGAGGGTCTAAGGAGGATTATGTCATGACAGAGATTTCATAGTTTCGTGAATTGCTTTTACATAGCATGATTTAATCCAAGGATTAAGTTATTCCTTTTAACATCATTGACACACTTTTCATTATCGTCTGAATACAGTACAGTTGAAGTCGGAGGTTTACATACACCTTAGCCAAATAAATTTAAACTCAGTTTTTCACAATTCCTGACATTTAATCCTAGTAAAAATTCCCTGTTTTAGATCAGTTAGGATCACCACTGTATTTTAAGAATGTGAAATGTCAGACTAATAGTAGAAAGAATGATTTATTTCAGCTTTTATTTATTTCATCACATTCCCAGTGGGTCTGACGTTTACATACACTCAATTAGTATTTGGTAGCATTGCCTTTAAATTGTTTAACTTGGGTCAAACATTTCGGGTAGCCTTCCACAAGCTTCCCACAATAAGTTGGGTGAATTTTGGCCCATTCCTCCTGACAGAACTGGTGTAACTGAGTCAGGTTTGTAGGCCTCCTTGCTCACACACGCTTTTTCAGTTCTGCCCACACATTTTCTATAGGATTGAAAATCAGGGCTTTGTGATGGCCACTCCAATACCTTGACGTTGTTGTCCTTAAGCCATTTTGCCAAAACTTTGGAAGTATGCTTGGGGTTATTGTCCATTTGGAAGACCCATTTGCGACCAAGCTTTAACTTCCTGACTGATGTCTTGAGATGTTGCTTCAATATATCCACATAATTTTCCTTCTTCATGATGCCATCTATTTTGTGAAGTGCACCAGTCCCTCCTGCAGCAAAGCACCCCCACAGCATGATGCTGCCACCCTCGTGCTTCACGGTTGGGATGATGTTCTTCGGCTTGCAAGTGACCCCCTTTTTCCTCCAAACATAACGATTATGGCCAAATAGTTCTATTTTTGTTTCGTCAGACCAGAGGACATTTCTCCAAAAAGTATGATCTTTGTCCCCATGTGCAGTTGCAAACCATGGTCTGGCTTTTTTATGGCGGTTTTGGAGCAGTGGCTTCTTCCTTGCTGAGCAGCCTTTCAGGTTATGTCGATATAGGACTCGTTTAACTGTGGATATATATACTTTTGTACCTGTTTCGTCCAGCATCTTCACAAGGTCCTTTGCTGTTGTTCTGGGATTGCACTTTTCGACCAAAGTACATTCATCTCTAGGAGACAGAACGCGTCTCCTTCCTGAGCGGTATGACGGCTGCGTGGTCCCATGGTGTTTATACTTGCGTACTATTGTTTGTACAGATGAACGTGGTACCTTCAGGCGTTTGGAAATTGCTCCCAAGGATTAACCAGAATTGTGGAGAACTACAATTTTTTTTCTGAGGTCTTGGCTGATTTCTTTTGATTTTCCCATGATGTCAAGCAAAGAGGCACTGAGTTTGAAGGTAGGCCTTGAAATACTCAAATTATGTCAATTAGCCTATCGGAAGCTTCTAAAGCCATTACATCATTTTATGGAATTCTCCAAGCTGTTCAAAGGCACAGTCAACTTAGTGTATGTAAACTTCTGACCCACTGGAATTGTGATACAGTGAATTATAGGTGAAATAATCTGTCTGTAAACAATTGTTGGGAAAAAGTACTTGTGTCATGCACAAAGTAGATGTCCTAACCGACTTGCCAAAACTATAGTTTGTTAACAAGAAATTTGTGGAGTGGTTGAAAAACAAGTTTTAATGACTCCAACCTAAGCGTATGTAAACTTCCGACTTCAACTGTATGTAAAACCTTGATCAAGCATCATCCTAAAATCCAAGATTAGCCTACTGTACCATTTGAACCAGCAACCGACTGGAACATCAATCTTTTCCATCAACCCAAAACAACAAGCATTAAACCATGATATAAATTATAACATCAAACCAATGAATAAATTATAGTTTGTTGTGAGAGACAACATGGTAGCTATTTCCACTGTAGTACACATTTTTTACATGTTCATCATTTAGCAGACGCTCTTATCTAGCACGACCTACAGGAGAAATTAGGGTTAAGTGCCTTGCTCAAGGGCATATCAACAGATTTTTCACCTAATCGTCCCAGGGATTCAAACCAGCGACCTTTAGGTTACTGGCCCAACACTCTTAACCGCTAGGCTACCTGCCACCCCACACACTGCTTCTCCCCCTTGAAGGACAATTTTGCTGATTGGTGAACATTCTCTACTACCCCTTAATCTGGGGCTAACTGATTTACAATAAGCGCATTTAAATAAGGAAGCTGAAACCTCCATCCAACCTTAACCTGATTAATTTCTCAGGCTTTAATCAGAGGCTACCTGGAGGTATTGCGCAGGTAATAATAACAGAAGTGAGGAGGGGAGCGTACTCTTTTGTCTGTTCTACACCCAGCTCCTCTCCTCTCCGGCCCAGACAACCAGACATTTCGGTACAAGATGTAAAACGCCATTCGATTGAATAAGGTCTATTCCCACCTCCACTCAAAGGTGTCCCAATTAAACACACACATCTTTACTAGCAAACAAAACCAAAACAAGACAACAAAGTCAACACCTCTGTCATTTCATAATGATCTAGAGAACACAACATCCCAAATCATCACCATCAATGAAAACCTTTTCCCAAGGGATGTCATCTCACAAATGACAGGCCATTGATGTAATAATGTAATAATGCAATAAGGTCAGACAGCTATTGTGAACAAGGGAGACAATACAAACATAACATTCATTGTACTGTATATTGAGTGCAGAGCATAAACCTCCCCTGGGATATTTCATATATACACACACACACACACACACACACACATACACACACTCACTCTTCGTTTGGAGTACAAATGGAAATTCAACAGAAAGGTCAAATGTCAACGTTGAGAAGGGCTAGGACACAATGTATTATTAGTCCAACTGGAAACACAACAACAAAGTCATCAGTGTACTTGCTAATTAAATTGATTCCACTCATAAACACACTGGCATACTGGGATATTTGTAGATAATGATATAGCAAGCATACAAACAAACACACACACACACACAAGTACGCGTGCACAGGATGACTGACCGTTAGGGTATGGCGTCTCACAGAGCGTGAGGAAGTCTACGATGGGGTAATCCATTTCCAGCACGGCTGTACTCTTCCCATGCATCACCGTCAGACATGGCCGCCGACCCACCGTGTCATAAGACAGACCTCCAGACAGGATCATGAATGGGTCTCTGTATAACACACATAGACACACACACACACATGAACAGACACATGAGACACATGAACACATGGAAGGCCATATTCCTTCTCCTCTTCTAGCATGGTAGGCCTGTGTGCGTGTGTGTGCCCTTACCCCAGTCTAGTGGTCTTGTACTCCACTTTGAGAATGGGTTTGCAAGGCTCTGGCTTCTTTCCATCCTTGGGCTGTTTTCCTGAAATAGGAAAACACTTTAGTTCCCTTTTTTATTCGCCTCCTGCTCTCTACTTCCTTCCCTCTCTCCTCTTTTCCCTTGCTCTCGCTCCTCTCCTCTCCTCTACTTCCTTTCCTCTCCACTCTCTTTCATTTTCTTCCAACCTTTTTCCCTGACGCTGCAGTAATACCCAGTGCAAGGCGGTGTGTGTGTACCAGACAGTGACTCAGGTCTATCCATCAGAGAGAGGGAAAGAGAGATACATTTGTGAATAAATGCTAGCTATGTGCACAAAGACCAAATAAATTAAACCTAGGAGTTGTCAAATAAGTCTACACTACAGAGGAATAATTTAATCATAAATGATTTATAGTTGTTACCTAGCCTGAATTAAATTGCTTAAAGGGAGCCTTTTTTAATTTCACATAAACCTGACACACACGTTTTCATAATTGTTCATTAAATACTAAACTGATTATGCATGCAGCAGTGGGAGAAACAACTAATTAAAAACAGTTCCAATGGAATCCTTTCCCTATTACACCATACTCAACAGCAATGAAACTGTACTTTTAGAAAGGGGTTCAAAGAGGTTTCCATTGCTTTCTCTCGCTCCCTTTCTCTTGGTTATCTCTCTTCTATCTCTCACTATGCTTTCTCTCTCTCTCTCGCTTTATTTGCTTATGTTGTGTGGGGACAGACATCTAAGCGAAGGAAACATTTAACCAAGGAGTAAATTAAACCCTTGATCACTGACAAAGGAGAAATGGTTGAAAACCTGAGAAAAGTTATAAAGACAGGTTGCAAATTGTTATAAAATTGAGGGTGAAAAGTGACAGCATGGTGTGAATGTGTGCGTATGTTCAACCTCACCGTGTGGGGTGATTGTCTGAAATGGCTTGCCCTGGCCCTTAATGTTCCATATGGTGAGCGTTCCGTCTGAGTGACTACAGATGAACTGCTTGCCCTCATGGTGCCAGGCAACCGAGTGGATCGCCTAGGAGACCACAGGAAGCAGGAAGTGAGGGACAGGAAGCAGGGTGTCACTTAATCACAGTGGGACACCATTTGTACCAGTACCAGGTATAGTTGTACCTTTCACACACACACATATATATAGGGTTACTCCTATTACACCTATCCCTTAGTTTGGATTACACTCTGTTCAGCAGATGGCTATTGTTGAATAAGAGTAGGGAAGAGCGGCAAGGAAGAGTTTATACATGGTTACATCATGTACATCCCAGCTACATGATAACATTTTCTATCAACCACCTGTGTAGCATGCATTATAAATTAATTGTCCTTCATGGTGCATTATACACCTACATTATAAGCATTCATAACAGATCATGTCTAAGTGCCTATATACAATCACAACACACAAAGGTGGTTCAAAGGTGGTTCAAAGGTGTAACCATTGACAGCGACAGTGTTATCCCCATTGAAGAGAGAGAAAAAGAGCAAGGTCAAGAGAGATGAAAGGAACAAGACATAGGTTGACACTAGAAAGAAGAGGGGAGAAGAGACGTGGGAGAGAGAGAGAGAAAGATACAGAGAAAGAGATACAGAGAGAAGAGACACAGAGAGAAAGAAACAGAAAGAGATACAGAGACACAAATAGAGAGAGAGAGAGATACAGAGAGAGAGGGAGAGAGAGTTACAGAGATAAGAGCGGAAAACAGACAGATAGGTGTGGGGATGGGGGTAGAGTGGAATTATGATGTGGTGGGTTGAAATTGAAGTTGCAATTAAGAATGCTCTTCCTCTGCTTTGCATAATCCAAACAACTTTGTTTCTATTTTGGGAAGGCAGGAAGTGATTTAGCGACCGACAACAAATCAATGAAATGGCTGCTACATCATTATAAGGCACTCCGGAAAGGTCAGACCGGCTTACTTCTGTCTTACTGCTCATTATTAAAACACACACACACACACACACACAACGCACACACACACACAAACAGACAGACAGACGCACACACACAGACACGCACCAATATTTAAATATTCATAAAACATTTCTCAGCTCAAGCATTTTATGGTGAATGTCTCAAAAGGACATCTAACCAGACGCAGTGAGTCACTTCAACAGGCTATGGAAATATATAAGTGCATTGTTCAGTTTGACAGTCCCACAAAGCAGAGACAATACGCTGTGGTTAATTTGACAATAAGCAGGTAATTGAAACACATGGCAGTCATCATATCAAACAATAATAATTAAAAATACTAATTTCATGATTGATTACATTATGCTCCTTTCAGAGAATGGTATTTTGGGATGAGACAGTGAGACACATATTGTCACGCCCTGGCTCTGGGGACTCTGAAATGTTGAGCCAGGGTGTGTAGTTTCTGTGTTATATTTTCTATGTTGATGTTCTAGATCGTTTAGATCTATGTTGGCCAGGGTGGTTCCCAATCAGAGGCAGCTGTATCTCGTTGTCTCTGATTGGGGACCATACTTAGGCAGCCTGTTTGCACTAGTCAGTGTGGGATCTTGTTCCGTAAAGGTTTGTTTTGTGTAACCTAGGACTTCACGTATCGTTTGTTTGTTGTTTTGTGTCGTGTTAAGTACTTAATAAAATGTACGCTTATCACGCTGCGCCTTGGTCCGTATCTTCCGTTAACGATCGTGACACATATACCCGCACCCACACAAACACACTAAAATCTTCAAAAACACCACAGTAAATACTGTAGCATTTACTGTAGTATAATATACTATTTACAGTTAACTAAAGTACAAATACTGTTGTAAAAGAAAACTGTAGTATATACTATACTAATTAATATAGTGATATTGCGGGTGTAGTATACTTAAGCAATAAGGCCAGAGGGGGTGTGGTATATGGCTAATATACAAAGGCTAAGGGCTGTTCTTATGCACGACGCAACGAGGAGTGCGTGGACACAGCCCTTAGCCATGTTATATTGGCCATATGTCACAAACCCCCGAGGTGCCTTATTGCTATAGTAAACAGGTTACCAACGTAATTAGAGCAGTAAAAATAAATGTTCTGTCAAACCGGTGGTATACCACGGCTGTCAGCCAATCAGCATTCAGGGCTCGAACCACCCAGTTTATAATGTAGTATTTACTGTAGTGTTCTTGCGGACTTTAGTATACTGTAGTATTTACTGTAGTGTTTTTGCAGACATTACTGTAGTATTTGCCATAGTTTTTTGTTTTGTTTTATTATCTTTGACATACAGTAGAAGCTAATTTTCCATAACCTGTAGGTAGGTAGGTAGGTAGGTAGGTAGGTAGGTAGGTAGGTAGGTAGGTAGGTACAGTGAGGGAGAAAAGTATTTGATCCCCTGCTGATTTTGTACGTTTGCCCACTGACAAAGACATGATCAGTGTATAATTTTAATGGTAGGTTTATTTGAACAGTGAGAGACAGAATAACAACAAAAGAATCCAGAAAAACACATGTCAAAAATGTTAAATAAATTGCTTTGCATTTTGATGAGGGAAATAAGTATTTCACCCCTCTGCAAAACATGACTTAGTACTTGGTGGCAAAACCCTTGTTGGCAATCACAGAGGTCAGACGTTTCTTGTAGTTGGCCACCAGGTTTGCACACATCTCAGGAGGGATTTTGTCCCACTCCTCTTTGCAGATCTTCTCCAAGTCATTAAGGTTTCGAGGCTGACGTTTGGCAACTCAAACATTCAGCTCCCTCCACAGATTTTCTATGGGGTTAAGGTCTGGAGACTGGCTAGGCCACTCCAGGACCTTAATGTGCTTCTTCTTGAGCCACTCCTTTGTTGCCTTGGCCGTGTGTTTTGGGTCATTGTCATGCTGGAATACCCATCCACGACCCATTTTCAATGCCCTGGCTGAGGGAAGGAGGTTCTCACCCAAGATTTGACGGTACATGGCCCCGTCCATCGTCCCTTTGATGCGGTGAAGTTGTCCTGTCCCCTTAGCAGAAAAACACCCCCAAAGCATAATGTTTCCACCTCCATGTTTGACGGTGGGGATGGTGTTCTTGGGGTCATAGGCAGCATTCCTCCTCCTCCAAACACGGCGAGTTGAGTTGATGCCAAAGAGCTCCATTTTGGTCTCATCTGACCACAACACTTTCACCCAGTTCTCCTCTGAATCATTCAGATGTTCATTGGTAAACTTCAGACGGGCCTGTATATGTGCTTTCTTGAGCAGGGGGACCTTGCGGGCGCTGCAGGATTTCAGTCCTTCACGGCATAGTGTGTTACCAATTGTTTTCTTGGTGACTATGGTCCCAGCTGCCTTGAGATCATTGACGAGATCCTCCCGTGTAGTTCTGGGCTGATTCCTCACCGTTCTCATGATCATTGCAACTCCACGAGGTGAGATCTTGCATGGAGCCCCAGGCCGAGGGAGATTGACAGTTATTTTGTGTTTCTTCCATTTGCGAATATTCGCACCAACTGTTGTCACCTTCTCACCAAGCTGCTTGGCGATGGTCTTGTAGCCCATTCCAGCCTTGTGTAGCTCTACAATCTTTGCCCTGACATCCTTGGAGAGCTCTTTGGTCTTGGCCATGGTGGAGAGTTTGGAATCTGATTGATTGCTTCTGTGGACAGGTGTCTTTTATACAGGTAACAAGCTGAGATTAGGAGCACTCCCTTTAAGAGTGTGCTCCTATTCTCAGCTGGGGATCAAATACTTTTTTCCCTCACTGTAGGTAGGTAGGTAGGTAGGTAGGTAGGTAGGTAGGTAGGTAGGTAGGTAGGTAGGTCTGGGGTTTGAACGGATAGTTCAGCACTTCTGATCTTTTCTATAGCCTGTATAAAACACAATATGGTCTATACTTGGCATGTAGGTTTCTCACTTATGGGTGGCACAAATCGGGATTTGGGGGAAGGGAATGGGCAGGGTATATACTGTAGTATTTAATATAGTTAAAAAAGTGTAGTGTTTTTGCGGACTTTAGTGTTTACTACAGAATTCTACAACATTCTATAGTAAGTACTACACATGATCGAGTGCCTGACGTGCGAATTGCGGGGGGGCCAGGGGTGTCTCAGACCCCATGAATGAGACAAAGTCAAGCGTTGGGGAGGGTCTCTAAATAATGCAAATTTAACCATTCTCCTATTTGTTTAAAATGCTATTTGTACTGTGGTAAATATTAAAATAAAATCTTATTCCAAATTAAACAAACACCCCTACCTCTGTGTCATTGTTTAAACAATTTCTTTCTCCTAGTGGCTGCACTTGTCATGCCGGACAATCCCATATCTCAGCCCCTTTTCAGGTGTCCCAACTTTTCTTTCTACAGAAAAGGTCATTTTGTTAGCAAGACAAATCATTTAATTCAGGCTACAAGAGTGTAGACCCAATTACAATCGCTGAGTGTCATTACACTTTTGGGTGTTTTGTAACATCAAATGGCGCGAGTGCACAGTGCACTGTTTGGATGCTGGAATTATTTTGGAGTGGACGAACATGCGCTGATTTTTTTGATAATAAGATGAAAACATCATAACTGGTTGTGTTCATGCCAAATTAAAAGGTAATTAAAAAAAATACTGTAAACACTAGAACCGCTAAAGCACTCATATATGACATTTTTACTATTAGGTCCATAAGAGGTCCTGATAAGATGAAAGGTGACCTATATACTGAGGGGTTGGCGGGACTTTTAGATATATTACTGCAATGATGACTAGGTCAGTTGGAGGAAATAAAAGTACAAGCTTTGTCGCAAAAAGTTGGCGAGATGCTGAAGTTGACAGAAAAACATCTTAGTTTGAAAGGCCTTGCATTAAAGAACATAATTGGTTAAGGAAAACTGTGATAAATAAAAAGGTATATCAGTTTCATTTAAGGACCAAAGGATTGACAGCCGTCCCATATAGATTGCAAAATAGTTGGGAAGAGATTTTTGACGTACTGATCCCATGGCATAGTGTTTATGAACTGATACGCAAAACGACACCGGATTCAAAATTTAGAATCTTTCAATTTAAATTATTATATAAAATTCTTGCTACCAATAGAATGTTATTTATATGGGGGATACAATCTTCCCAGCTCTGCAGATTTTGCTGCGAAGAGACAGAATCATTAGATCATTTGTTTTGGTATTGTCCATTTGTAGCTTGTTTTTGGACACAGGTCCAGGAATGGCTAAAGGATTGCAATATTTACCTGGAGCTAACCCTGCAGATGGCACTACTGGGTGATCTGAAAAGTCATAGTCAATCGATCAATAACATAATAATACTATTAGCAAAAATGTTTATGTTCAATTCACAATCTGTAGAAACAATGAGAATAGAAAGGTTCAGAACTTTTGTAAGACATCACAGTACAGTTGAAATATATAAGGCAAATAGAAATCCTATATGGATGGTGTTAAAAAATTGATGGGAGGTGTTGAATGTAATTGAAGGATGGGACTAATAACAAATAACAACAAACAATAACAAGATAACTAATAATGTAGGCACGCTGTGTCCATAAAAAGTGTATGGGTTGTAGGTTGGGAGCTTTTGTGAAGGAGCACAGTTAGAAAGATATGGCATATAGAAGCAAACCGGATGGACATCATGAAAATGATCGGAGAGGTTGAGAGTAGAAGAAGTTCAGGAGAAAGAACAAACAAAATGTAATTACTGTAAAATTGACTGTGTCCATAAAATGTAGATAGTGGGTATGGGCTGGAAGTAGAGGCCTAGGCGTTGTTGTTCACTAGTTTACTCCAAGTGGGGAAAGGGTGGCGGGGTTGGAAAGTAATAAAGGGGAATATATATCTTTTTTTAAAGGATATGTATGTGTATGTATGTATGTACAGTGGGGAGAACAAGTATTTGATACACTGAAGCTGAAAGTCCGTATTGCCCAGCGACAGCCCCGAAACCTGAAGGATCTGGAGAAGGTCTGTATGGAGGAGTGGGCCAAAATCCCTGCTGCAGTGTGTGCAAACCTGGTCAAGACCTACAGGAAACGTATGATCTCTGTAATTGCAAACAAAGGTTACTGTACCAAATATTAAGTTCTGCTTTTCTGATGTATCAAATACTTATGTCATGCAATAAAATGCAAATGAATTACTTAAAAATCATACAATGTGATTTTCTGGATTTTTGTTTTAGATTCCGTCTCTCACAGTGGAAGTGTACCTATGATAAAAATTACAGACCTCTACATGCTTTGTAAGTAGGAAAACCTGCAAAATCGGCAGTGTATCAAATACTTGTTCTCCCCACTGTATGTGTGTGTGTTTGTGTGTATATGTGTATGTATGTGTATGTATATATATATATATATATATATATATATATATATACACTGCTCAAAAAAATAAAGGGAACACTTAAACAACACAATGTAACTCCAAGTCAATCACACTTCTGTGAAATCAAACTGTCCACTTACATTTACATTTTTACATTTTAGTCATTTAGCAGACGCTCTTATCCAGAGCGACTTACAGGAGCAATTAGGGTTAAGTGCCTTGCTTAAGGGCACATCGACAGATTTTTCACCTAGTCGGCTCGGGGATTAGAACCAGCGACCTTTCGGTTACTGGCACAACGCTCTTACCCACTAAGCTACCTGCCGACCCTCGGAAGCTTACTTAGGAAGCAACACTGATTGACAATAAATGTCACATGCTGTTGTGCAAATGGAATAGACAACAGGTGGAAATTATAGGCAATTAGCAAGACACCCCCCAATAAAGGACTGGTTTTGCAGGTGGTGACCACAGACCACTTCTCAGTTCCTATGCTTCCTGGCTGATGTTTTGGTCACCTTTGAATGCTGGCGGTGCTTTCACTCTAGTGGTAGCATGAGACGGAGTCTACAACCCACACAAGTGGCTCAGGTAGTGCAGCTCATCCAGGATGGCACATCAATGCGAGCTGTGGCATGAAGGTTTGCTGTGTCTGTCAGCGTAGTGTCCAGAGCATGGGGGCGCTACCAGGAGACAGGCCAGTACATCAGGAGACGTGGAGGAGGCCGTAGGAGGGCAACAACCCAGCAGCAGGACTGCTACCTCCGCCTTTGTGCAAGGAGGAGCAGGAGGAGCACTGCCAGAGCCCTACAAAATGACCTCCAGCAGGCCACAAATGTCCATATGTCTGCTCAAATGGTCAGAAACAGACTCCATGAGGGTGGTATGAGGGCCCGACGTCCACAGGTGGGGGTTGTGCTTACAGCCCAACACCGTGCAGGACGTTTGGCATTTGCCAGAGAATGCCAAGATTGGCAAATTCGCCACTGGCGCCCTGTGCTCTTCACAGATGAAAGCAGGTTCACACTGAGCATGTGACAGACGTGACAGAGTCTGGAGACGCCGTGGAGAACGTTCTGCTGCCTGCAACATCCTCCAGCATGACCGGTTTGGCGGTGGGTCAGTCATGGTGTGGGGTGGCATTTCTTTGGGGGGCCGCACAGACCTCCATGTGCTCGCCAGAGGTAGCCTGACTGCCATTAGGTACCGAGATGAGATCCTCAGACCCCTTGTGAGACCATATGCTGGTGCGGTTGGCCCTGGGTTCCTCCTAATGCAAGACAATGCTAGACCTCATGTGGCTGGAGTGTGTCAGCAGTTCCTGCAAGAGGAAGGCATTGATGCTATGGACCGCCCGTTCCCCAGACCTGAATCCAATTGAGCACATCTGGGACATCATGTCTCGTTCCATCCACCAACGCCACGTTGCACCACAGACTGTCCAGGAGTTGGCGGATGCTTTAGTCCAGGTCTGGGAGGAGATCCCTCACATGGAATTTGACTGCCTTCAAGACTCGTGACAGCCGGTGTGGCGGTAATACGGTCACCGCAACAGCCCTAATCTCAATCAATCAACATCCATCTAACAACACTGATCCTCATCTTGAGAGGTCTAAGAACCTATCCCATTCCATTGACTATACAGTATACTACAGTACCAGCCCATCCCATTGTAAAGCGTTAGAGTATGCCTCAGTATACATGGACTTTCCTATTGCTAATGGAGATTTTTATTTTATTTTTATTTAACCTTTATTTTATCAGGGAGTCATACTGAGACCAAGGTCTCTTTACAGATGAGCCCTGAATTACATAAATTACAGAAAATACACACATCAATATGAATAGAAAATGCAAGTAGAAAGAACAACATGGTCATAAAAAACAAACACATTCATCACATTCAACAAACACAAAACAAACACATTCATAAAGTCCTCAGTCAGCCTTCTGAATTGCCCTAGAGGCACCAACACATCCATTTTAAGAACACTTTGAAGATTGTTTCACAAATAAGGTGTAAGAAAACTAAAAACTGATTTCCCTAACTCAGTAGAGGCCAAAGGAATTTCCAGAGTTAACCATCCCTGAGACCGGGTGTGGTAACTCGTATGTCTAAAGTTTAGTAAAGATGTTAGTTACAGTGGGACTATTTGTAAAAGGGCTTTATATATGAAAACATAGCAATGTATTAACCTGCGTGACATCAAAGAGCGCCAACCAACTTTCTGGTAGAGAATGCAGTGATGAGTACTAAAATTGTCGCCGTAATAAAGCGCAGTGCGCTATGATAAACTGCATCTAACGGCTTTAATGAAGTGGCAGTTGCGTTCATATACAGTGCATTCTGAAAGTATTCAGACCCCTTGACTTTTCACATTTTGTTAGGTTACAGCCTTATTCTAAAACAGACTAAATAAATGTTTTCCCTCATCAATCTACACACAATACCCCATCATGATGAAGTGAAAACAGTTTATTTTTATTTTTTTGTGCAAAATTATTAGAAATAAAAACAGAAAAGCCTTATTTACATAAGTATTCAGACCCTTTGCTATGAGACTCGAGACCCGGCCAAACTGAGCAATCGGGGGAGAAGGGCCTTAGTCAGGGAGGTGACCAAGAACCCGATGGTCACTCTGAAAGAGCTCCAGAGTTCCTCTGTGCAGATGGGAGAACCTTCCAGAAGGACAACCATCTCTGCACCACTCCACCAATCAGGCCTTTACGTTAGAGTGGCCAGACGGAAGTCACTCCTCAGTAAAATGCACATCACAGCCCACTTGGAGTTTTCCAAAAGGCACCTAAAGGACTCTCAGACCATGAGAAACAAGATTCTCTGATCTGATGAAACCAAGATTGAACTCTTTGGCCTGAATGCCAAGCGTCACGTCTGGAGGAAACCTGGCACCATCCCTAGAATGAAGCACGATGGTGGCACCATTATATTGTGGGGATGTTTTTCAGCGGCAGGAACTGGGAGACGATTGGCGCAAAGTACAGAGACATCCTTGATGAAAACCTGTTCCAAAGCGCTCAGGACCTCCGACTGGGGCGAAGGTTCACCTTCCAACAGGACAACGACATAGCCAAGACAATGCAGGAGTCGGGATAAGTCTCTGAATGTCCTCGAGTGGCCCAGCCAGAGCCAGGTCTTTAACCCGATCGAACATGTCTGGAGAGACCTGAAAATAGCTGTGCAGCGATGCTCCACATCCAACCTGACAGAGCTTGAGAGGATCTGCAGAGAAGAATGGGAGAAACTCCCCAAATACAGGTGTGCCAAGCTTGTAGCGTCATACCCAAGAAGACTTGAGGCTGTAATTGCTGCCAAAGGTGCTTCAACAAAGTACTGCGTAAAGAGTCTGAATACTGATGTAAATTAAATGTTTTATACATTAGCAAAAAATTATAAAAACCTGGTTTTGCTTTGTAATTATGGGGTATTGTGTGTAGATTGATGAGTGAAAAAATAATTTAATCAATTTTAGAATAAGGCTGCAACGTAACAAAATGTGGAAAAAGTAGAGGGGTCTGAATACTTTCCGAATGCACTGTAGATGATGTCGCCATAGTCTAGGACCGATAGGAACATTGACCGAATAATCTGCTTTCTACTATTTAGCGAGAGACAGGACCTATTTCTATAGAAGAAGGCCATTTTTATTCTCAGCTTCTTAACTAACTCATCAATATGCTTTTTAAAAGACAGCTTTTCATCTATCCAGATGCCCAGATATTTGTAAGCAGGGAAATCAATATGGACACCATCCAAAGTACATATGCTTAAATCATCAGAGTTCTTTTTATGTGCTCTAGAGAACAACATATACTTAGATTTACCTGCATTCAATACTAATTTCAGGTCAATAAAGATTTTCTGTAATACAATGAAGGCAGACTGTAGTTCAGATATAGCCTGGTCAACTGTCGGGGCAATAGCATACACAACAGAATCATCGGAATACAAGTGCAGGTTAAAGTTTTTTACAGTTTTTTACAGTCGATATTGTTAATGTAAACAGTAAAAAGTACAGGACCCAGAATCGACCCCTGTGGGATACCTTTCGTAATATCCAGGAAACCTGTTTTAACACCATCAGTAGATACACATTGATTTCTATCTGTCAAGTAAATTTTAAACCAGTTACATGCAGCCTGGTCTAGGCCAAATGAGGAAAGTCTCTGAATTAGCAGTGAGTGATCAACAGTATCGAAAGTCTTTGACAGGTCAATGAAGAGGGCAGCACAATTTTGCCTTTTATCCATACAGTTAACCAAATCATTTATAACTAGGGATGCAGCAGAGATAGTGCTATGACCTGGTTTAAAACCTGACTGATGTACATTTAGAATACATTTCAAAGATAAGAAACATCTTAGCTGAGAATCAATCAAGGATTCTAATATTTTAGCTAGGCATGAACGTTTAGAAATAGGGCGATAATTATTTAGGTCACAAGGGTCACCACCTTTGTGAAGGGGGAGTACATGGGCCGCCTTCTAAACCTTGGGGATAGTACCAGATATAATCGTCAGGTAAAAAATATGGATTAATGGTTCAGCAATCAGGGGGGCAGAAAGCTGCAGCAGAAATGGATGAAGCATATCAGCCTCAGTGGATTTTTTTTTACATCATCTTAAGCAAGGCATCTGGCACATCACAGATAGTAAATTGTTGAAATGAAAACAACGATTCACTACAAGTTGACTGGTTAACCGTTGAGTCAGCTAGAGGCTGGCAGAGGGAAGAGCAGTCGATTGACTGTCCAGGGTCAATTAAACCACCGTTTCTATTTTTAAAAAGCCTGCAGAGATACAAAATATGATTAAAAGCATCACTTATTCTATTCTTCTTCAGTTATGATGACAGAACTTGCTTAGATAGGGAAGAAGAGGAATTTCGATGCTTCAGTGCTTTTACTGTTTTCCAACATTTTGAAGGATCACCAGCAGAGTCAGAGATAGAGCTTAAAAAGTAGCTTGATTTAGCTTTCTTAATCAAGATAGTACATCTGTTTCTCAATTGTCTGAAAGATTGCCAGTCCACTACAGAGTCAGTTGTCCTTGCTTTGGCACAGGCCTGATTTCTCATCTGAATGAGCTCAGATAGCTCAGAAGAAAACCAAGGGTTAGATCTATCTTTGACTCTGAATTGTTTAAAAGGGGCGTGTTTATCTGCCAGAGGAATAAATATGGAGGAGAAATGTTCGAGAGCCAACTCAGGGTCAGAAATACAGGAGATGGTGGCTAAATCAGAGTAGAGCATGTCATGTAAAAACCCTTGAGGAGAAAACTTTATCTTCTTAATAAAACGAGGATTAGTATTTTACTGTTTCGTATCTCTAATACATACTATGGGACAATGATCACTGAGATCATATGCAAATACTCCACTAGACAAATATTTATGGCGTTATTAGTAAGAATTAAATAAATCATTGAGGAGTTAACAGGGTTTTTTACATTTAGCCGTGTGGGTTTTGAGATCAATGGAGTCAGATTAAAATCAATGCATATACATTTACATTTACATTTTAGTCATTTAGCAGACGCTCTTATCCAGAGCGACTTACAGGAGCAATTAGGGTTAAGTGCCTTGCTCAAGGGCACATTAACGTCATTTAGCAGACGCTCTTAGCCAGAGCGACTCACAAATTGGTGCGTTCACCCTATAGCCAGTGGGATAACCACTTTACAATTGGGGGGGGGGGGGGGGGGGGGGGGGGGGGTAGAAGGATTCCTTTATCCTATCCCAGGTATTCCTTAAAGAGGTGTACTCTTAAATTGATCTGAGGCCGGGGACAGCCAATCCAGATTCAAATCCCCATAAATGACCAACTGAGGACAAAAAAGGTGTTAAACACTCAGATATAGCACCAATAACATCCGCCATGGCAAACAGGGGGGCGATAAATCACAGCAACAAATAAATGTGTATTCTGGTTTATGGACACATCTACATCTGGTCTGATGAAAATAAGATTGAACTCTTTGGCCTGAATGCCAAGCGTCACGTCTGGAGCTACAACCAGGAGCTAAAATGTATTGGGAACAGAAATATTTAAAGTTTGAAAGGTCATGAAATTAGATTTGACATTTATGGCCACTCCTCCCCTTTTCTGTAATCTGTCACATCTAAATACATTATAATCATTTACTTCAATGTCTTTATCAGATACAGAACCATTTAACCATGTTTCCGAGAGAACCAGAATGTCAGGACACGAGTCCTGTACCCAAATGTCAATTGTGTCTATTTTTTAAACCAAGCCCCCTATGAGATTTAAAGTCAGAGGGGGTATTCAGCTCATTCCCATAAGAGCTAACAGGCATCGGGTCATCTGCAGCTATTTGTTGAGTGAGCTGAGACTTTGCCAAGGTCCCTGGCCAACCATGTGAGAGCAGAGTAGACTGAGCATTTGACAGACCTCCCTCAGGTCGCTGGATGCAGGGGCTGAGGCGGGAACTGGGAGAGCAGTTAATACCACATCTGCCAAGTGTCCCATTAGCACAATGAATTGCAGAGCAAATTTATGGTGTCTGGCTACTAGAAATAGCTTAAGCTTTTTAGATGCCCCAGGGTATGCCATTTAATAGGAGCAATTTGAATTGTGTATAGTTTAGGTTTCAAGCCTTGATAATCACTATCTGGAAAGTCATCACATTGGCTTGAGTATGAGAGCGTGTTTTGGTTTTCTTTTGAGTGTACACATACGCACATACACAGGGCACTGAGGGGTTGGTTTATTTACACAAAACCCGAGTGATCTCTATCACCTCCAATCCCACTGCTGTAAGAGCCTTTCAAGTGTGTGTGTATGTGTGCGTGTGCACGCACACGAATGTGTGTGTTTATATCCTCACACCTGCTTGTATTTGTTCAGCTAGCGGGAGAGTGAGGGATGAAGGATGCAGCGTGAGGAAAAACAATGAGAGCAGCAGCAGCAGGCAGAGGAGGAGAGATACAGTGGGGGAAAAAAGTATTTAGTCAGCCACCAATTGTGCAAGTTCTCTCACTTAAAAAGATGAGAGAGGCCTGTAATTTTCATCATAGGTACATGTCAACTATGACAGACATATTGAGATTTTTTTTCTCCAGAAAATCACATTGTAGGATTTGTAATGAATTTATTTGCAAATTATGGTGGAAAATAAGTATTTGGTCACCTACAAACAAGCAAGATTTCTGGCTCTCACAGACCTGTAACTTCTTCTTTAAGAGGCTCCTCTGTCCTCCACTCGTTACCTGTATTAATGGCACCTGTTTGAACTTGTTATCAGTATAAAAGACACCTGTCCACAACCTCAAACAGTCACACTCCAAACTCCACTATGGCCAAGACCAAAGAGCTGTCAAAGGACACCAGAAACAAAATTGTAGACCTGCACCAGGCTGGGAAGACTGAATCTGCAATAGGTAAGCAGCTTGGTTTGAAGAAATCAACTGTGGGAGCAATTATTAGGAAATGGAAGACATACAAGACCACTGATAATCTCCCTCGATCTGGGGCTCCACGCAAGATCTCACCCTGTGGGGTCAAAATTATCACAAGAACAGTGAGCAAAAGTCAACGAAGGAGTGGCTTCGTAAGAAGCATTTCAAGGTCCTGGAGTGGCCTAGCCAGTCTCCAGATCTCAACCCCATAGAAAATCTTTGGAGGGAGTTGAAAGTCCGTGTTGCCCAGCGACAGCCCCAAAACATCACTGCTCTAGAGGAGATCTGCATGGAGGAATGGGCCAAAATACCAGCAACAGTGTGTGAAAACCTTGTGAAGACTTACAGAAAACGTTTGACCTGTGTCATTGCCAACAAAGGGTATATAACAAAGTATTGAGAAACTTTTGTTATTGACCAAATACTTATTTTCCACCATAATTTGCAAATAAATTCATAAAAAATCCTACAATGTGATTTTCTGGATTTCTTTTCCATATTTTGTCTGTCATAGTTGACGTGTACCTATGATGAAAATTACAGGCCTCTCTCATCTTTTTAAGTGGGAGAACATGCACAATTGGTGGCTGACTAAATACTTTTTTTCCCCACTGTATCCTACTGACTCTGCTGCCCACCCTGCTGCCTGGGCTCCTTGGAACCATGGACCTGTCCATCTACCTCAGAGAGGAGAGAGAGACAGAGAGAGAGAGAGAGAGAGAGAGAGAGAGAGATGAGATAGATGGATAAGAAGAAGAAGCAAATAGAAGAGAGGGTATGGAGAAAAGAGAGAGAGGGGGAAAGAGGGAGAGCGATAGAGAGAATGACAAAATGAGAAAAGGAGCAAAAAAGATGGGGAGCATGATAGAGAAAGAGAGGGATATAGAAATCAGAGGCAGGCTCCAGCGTAGGCAGGCTATTCATCAGGCTAAGGCATTTAGTCAGACAGAGCAGGGCTGAGGTGACTGATGCTCTCTCCATCTCCATCTTCTCTCTGGTGTTCACAATCACTGCACCCCCAGAGATAGCACTGAGCCATGACCAGGAAAAAGACTGGAAGAGAGACGCAAGAGAAGGAAGAATGCTCTCTCAGCTGTTTGGGGGTGTTGAAATTCCTACACATACACACTGTGGTTAGGTGTGACAAAGATGGAGAGAGTTTACTGTAATTAGTGAGGTTATATAAGATGTCCTCACACGACTAGAGAAACGTAAGGACTCGGCTACATCCAATGTCCTCTACCCTCTACCCTATGCTCCAAGCTTTATTCCCTACGTCCTTTACTCTATTACCCATGTCCTATACTTAGGGCCATGCTTTTTTGGTGTGGAAATAGAGACTGTGTGCTTTTACCGTTATTACCAGCATTATCCACCAGTATTGCTACAGGTAGAAAACCCTAGGAAATGTTCTGTAATTGACACAAGCTGTCTCCATTCAATCAATCATTGTCTGGTTGCGCATGTATGTTTGGCAGGGGGAGATGTAGCTCTGCAAATCGCACAAAACCTTTTATTTGGCAGGAAATATTATTTGTCGATCCAGGAACCCAGCGCTATCATCCGACTCACAATATATTAATCAGAACTACATCTCACCATAGTCTATTCTACAGTACAAAAACTGATCCAAGGGCAGCTTTAATGTTCAGCTCTTAATACCTAGGGTTCAGACTGACGAACATAGATCTGACCCTGAATTAGTCATCAGCAGCAGGCGATGACAGGAGCACATTAGCTGTAATGCCACAGCATGGCAGTGATGTGAATACTGTGATTTTTTCCCAAGTGTTAATGAGCCCCAGAGTACTGAGTTAGCAGCTGTAGAGCAGTCAGCCTCTGGGGAGGGGTTACTACAGGGTTGGAGAGGAGATACACAACTGCTCCCAGGAGAAAACAACATGGCTGCCAAGGAGGATCACTACGTAAGCCTTAGGACCAGGGAGAGGAAACAGCGATATCATCTCACCCAGGGGATTGGGAAGGAGGGGGGAGGGAGAGAGAGAGAGAGAGAGAGACTGACAGAACAACAGAGAGAGAGAGAGAGAGAGAGAGAGAGAGAGAGAGAGAGAGAGAGAGAGAGAGAGAGAGAGAGAGAGAGAGAGAGAGAGAGAGAGAGAGAGAGAGAGAGAGAGAGAGAGAGAGAGAGAGCGTGAGAGCGAGAGCGAGAGCGAGAGAGAGAGAGAGAGAAAGACAGAAGCAGAAGCAGAAGCAGAGAACTGAGACAGAATGCACAAGAAAAGGGGAGCATTCGATTCAGCAGGGAGAGTCAACACAGGGCCATGTTGTGCTTGTGGAGTCTTTTTATTGTAGAGGGCTTACAGTGCCACACCACTGTCAATGAGGTGAACAGTAGCATGGGTGTTAACATAAACTCATTACTGTAAGCCTGACTCTGTGTGTGTCTTTGTAAAACCACTCAATCCGCTTAAACTTCTACTGCAAGTTTGGGCACCAGGGTTTCTGATGCATTCTTAACTTGAGTATTATGAGGCAGGGGATGAGATACAACCAAGACATTATATTGTTTGTTTGTTTGTTAGAAAAGGATGTTGCCTTGGAGAAATAAGTAAAAAATACTTTACTACCTCCCAAAAAAAAATCACAAATGGCCGACCCTCTATAATACAAAATGAGGGCCATAGGAGAGACAGCAGGACGTCTGTGGCTCAAAAAGAGACTACACACTGTGTGCAGCCTACTGTAGTATTGGGTTCCCATCTCTTGTAACTCAGTATGGGTACAAGTACAGACAAACACCAAACAATCCTGTTCTCTTCCTTCTTCAATATCGGCTGACAAAACCCAATATAACCATCATGCAGACTCAGAATTTTCTATGCCAAGAATCCCTATAGTATATCCCACAGTGATGTGAGACAGAGACGTCCTATTCCATTTCCTAAATTGAGCCTGCGGTGTACAAGCCTTCTCTGCTCTCCAGCGCTGAGCGGCTTAGATCACTGATGAACATGTCACATCAGACCCACACAACAACACAGACATCTGAGACGAGTGTTGGTGTATGTCGAGTAGTGTATGTCGTGTGTGTTTGTGTGTGTACCCCTGTGGGTGTAGAGTAGGTATCAGAGTAGGTACATGCCTCCACTACATCTTTAGTCCTCCACAGACTCTAAGGCCCTTTGATGTAATCTCTCAAAGGCAAACAATGTATATGTCATACAAGCACACAGTACACACACAGTATGCACACAATACACACACAGTACACCCACCCACACACAAATACTGTATATACAGTACACACATCTATTTATACAAAGCAGTTTATTAATATTTGATTCCTCTTTTAGTATTTCCATGCATTCCCCAGATCACGGGAAGAGAGGCACTGAAAGGCATTGTGGGAGATGGTGCATACCTCGTCATAAGTGTAGCGGTAGTCTGCCTTCTTTGATTTCAGATCCCACAGGACCACGATCCCAGACTCATATCCAATTATAAGCTGGAATGGAAAAGTGACAGGCAGCCAGTGAGATTTGGCCCGGTGAGAAGATGACAGAGGATAGACAGAGGATAGACACACGTCAGAGAAGGAATCATATGCTCAACATTCACACGGCAGGCTGTGGTGGGGTGGGGGGGGATCAACACAGGATACACAGCTTATAGGAGTTGCCTTTTGACCTTGGTTCTAAACCAACAAGAAAAATAAGTGCATTTTGTTTAATATTTTAATGTTAAACCATGCTCCCCCCCCCCCCCCCACCCCACCCCACTCCTAAAGTTGATATTATCAACATATTCCAAACAATGGACTCTTTTCAATGATTTTTTTGTCTCTTTTTTTAATGTTATTCTTTAGAACTTAGCCCCTCTTGCACCATGAGTCCTGAAACACTGATAATTGATAGATAAACATGTGAACAACTGTGGCTCACAAGTCATTCATCTATCAAAAGCAATTATCTGTGTTCAAATAAAATATAAATAATGATCCAGCTAGCTTTAATGTTTTAGAAAGGCTAAACCTACAGTACGTGCAGAGAGTGGTGGAGGGAGGGAAGAAGGAAGGAAGAGAGAGAGAGAGATAAAGGTAAAAGTAAAGTGTGTGTGAAGTAAGGTCTTTGAGTAGGCTGTATTTAAAAAGGCTTTGTGTGGCCTGTTTGAATAAGCCATCAAGGTCTCATTCATCACCCACATGACTGTCTGTCTGTCTGCAGACTCATCGAGGATGGGGGGCATGGCACACTCTTCAACATTAACAACAAGGAAAGATACACACGTGTAAATGTAATGTACACAATATGTGGGCAGAGAGCCACGCTATACCTTTCCCTCATCCATGGGGTTGTCACTTATGTGGACCACAGGACCTGGGTGGGCCTTGGAGGATCTGAGAGAGCGGAAGAGAAAGAAAGAGAGAGAGCAAATAAGAAAAGTGAGAGGTGATTCATTCATTCATTCATTCATTCATTCATTCATTCACCTCAGCAGCATCAAATGGAGGTCATATACATCAGATATGTGAGGTACTATCACACATCATATAGATAGCCTTGGCATATAGTGAGAGCAGAGGATAAAACTCAGCTTAGAGCATCTAAAGGAACTCAGTCCCTTTGAAACAGAGCAGTGGGAAGGACAGGGCTAACTGCTGAAGCCCTGAGAGTCCGACGGGAGAGATGGATGGCTGTCAGTCCCCTCTGAGTGTGTACTATAGTGTGTGTTGTGGCAGCCTAGGGGAGTTAGAGGTGAAACTCACAATAAAATAAGACAGCGGGAGACTGCTTTGCGGTGCTCAAACCAAAGTTGTTCTTTAATAAAGGTTGGGGGAAATGGGGAGGGGAGAAATACAACGGAAAGGCCTCTCAGGTAACAGGTGGGTCACTCTGTGTCCAGCGTGGCGTCTCCTCGGACCGCCTGTGTTAATGAACAAAAGAGAGAGAGAGCGATGAGTTTTGCCTGTCTGCCCGAGTGACTGCACCTCCACTTATACCCATTTGGGGTAACGAGGGACAGGTGGGACCAATTCCAGGTGCCAATTGGTTGCAGCACCTGGACTGGGTAATATTGGTGTTGAATCACTAGCCCCAGTTGGTGCCTGTAGAGCTGTCCATGGTGCTGACTCACCTTGGCCTCTCTAGCCCTCTCCTTCCTTTGTAGCTCCCTGCTGGCCCCCGGGTTGCCACATACCCCCCCCCCCCCCCCCCTTAAGCTCATAGCCGGCTGGCAGGCTGTCGATCAACCAGAATGCGTCCCTCATGGACAGGGCATCGGCATTCCCATGGGATTTCCCGGACCTGTGCTCCATGATAAAGTTAAAGGCTTGCAACTCCAAAAAACATCTAGTGACCCGGGCATTGCTATCTTTGGCCGTGGCCATCCATTTGAGGGGGGAATTATCTGTCACTAAGGTACATTTCCTCCCCAGTACTTGAGCTTCATTATGGCCCATTTTATAGCCAGACCTTTTTCTAGGGTCGAATAGTTTCTCATGTTTGAGAAACTTACGGCTGATGTATGTCACAGGATGCTCCTCGCCCCCTCGAATCTGAGACAGCACAGTGCCAAGGCCCACCTCTGAGGCATCGGTATGGACCACAAAGGGCTCCTGGAAGTTGGGGGTGATGAGTACCGGTTCCACACACAGAGCATGCTGCAGGGTGGAGAAAGCCTGGTCCGCCTCTTTCGTCCAAGTGACGTGGTGGGGCAGGTGTTGTCTGGTCATGTCATGGAGTGGGGCAGCAGTCGTGGCAAACTGGGGAATAAACCATTGATAATACCCTACCAAGCCAAGGAAAGTTTTTACCTGCTGCTTTGTGATAGCCTCCACCTTTCGCTGCTGAGGTTTGACGCTCCCCCGGCCAATCGTGCAGCTCAGATATTCAGCCTCCTCTGGGCCAAGCCTGCATTTTCTGGGGTTGGCCATCAGGCCGGCCTCTCGTAGGGCCCTCAAGACTGCGTGCAGCTGTGCTAGATGGGTGGTCCATTATGAATGATGAATGATTATGTAATCCAGGTAGGCTGCTGCATACTCACGGTGGGGGTCGCAGGATCCGGTCCATCATGCGTTGGAAGTTTGGCCGGAGCTCCGTGGACCTGTGGGATTCTTCAATAATGGCAAGTTCTAACATCTTCCTCACCTCCTCTCGGATGAACTTTCTCTTAGCCTATGGGATGCGGTATGGCCTTAATCTCACCTTCTTTCCAGGTTCCGTGACAATGTCGTGCTGGACCACTGTGGTTCTTTACGGTATCCCTGAGAGAGACATCTAGTTGTTGGCTAATCAGCTCCTGGAGATCCTGTCGTTGGCTGGGGCCAAGCTGGGGACCCAGCGGCAACTCTGGGAGCCTTGGGGAGGGGGGTACACCAGATGGGGCAGTCACTCTCTCCCGGGGACGGGCATGCCACTGCTTTAGCAGGTTCACGTGATATAACTGGGTGGGTTTGCGTCTCCCTAGTTGCTTTACATTGTAATTCACTGCATTCGCTCATTCTACTATCTCATACGGGCCCTGCCACTTGGCCAGGAATTTGCAGTCAGAGGTGGGGATGAGTACTAAGACCAGTTCTCCTGGAGTGAATTCACGAAGACGGGCCCCACTGTTGTAGACCCGGGCTTGGGCCTGCTGAGCCTGGAGCATGTGTTCCCACATCAGAGGCCAGACTCTCACCATGCGGTGGCGCATCTCCTCCACGTATTCAATAACTGACCGGTGAGGGGAGGGTTGTTGCTCCCAGGCCTCCTTTGCCAGGTCCAGCATGCCCCGGGGCCATCTGCCATACAGGAGCTCAAAGGGTGAGAATCCTGTGGATGTCTGTGGGACCTCTCTGATGGAGTACAGAACAAAGGGTATTAGCTGGTCCCAATTTTTTCCTTCTGCGTCAATGGCTCTCCTTAACATTTGATTCATGGTTTTGTTCAATCGTTCCACAAGCCCATCGGTTTGGGGATGGTACACAAAGTACGGATTTGGCTCACCTTTAACATCCTGCACATTTCTTTCATTACCCGGACATGAAGCACGATCCTTCATCGGTCAGGACTTTTTCTGCAATCTTCACCCGACTGAAGAGAAGGAACAGTTCCAGTGTTCCCGTGCCACAGCACAGGCGCTGGCGGCATGTAGTGGGATGGCCTCAGGGTAGCGGGTGGCGTAGTCCATGATTACCAAGATGTACAGTGCATTCGGAAAGTATTCAGACCCCTTGACCTTTTCCACATTTTGTTACGTAACAGCCTTATTCTAAAATGGATTAAATTGTTTTTCCCCCCTCATCAAATCTACACACAATAACCCCTTAATGACGAAGCAAAAATGGGTTTTTAGAAATGTTTTCAAATTTACTAAAAACAAAATACTGAAATATCACATTTACTTAAATATTCAGACCCTTTACTCAGTACTATGTTGAAGCACCTTTGGCAGTGATTACAGCCTCGAGTCATCTTGGGTATGACACTACAAGCATGGCACACCTGTATTTGAGGAGTTTCTCCCATTCTTCTCGGCAGATCCTCTCAAGCTCTGTCAGGTTGGATGGGGAGCGTCGCTGCACAGCTATTTTCGGGTCGCTCAAGAGATGTTCGATCGGGTTCAAGTCCGGGCTCTGGCTGGGCCACTCAAGGACATTCAGAATCTTGTCCCGAAGCCACTCCTGCGTTGTCTTGGTTGTGTGCTTAGGGTCATTGTCCTGTTGGAAGGTGAACCTTTGCCCCAATCTGAGGTCCTGAGCGCTCTGGAGCAGGTTTTCAACAAGAATCTCTCTGTACTTTGCTCCATTAATCTTTCCCTCGATCCTGACTAGTCTCCCAGTCCCTGCCGCTGAAAGATATTCCCACAACATGATGCTGCCATCACCATGCTTCACAGTAGGGATGGTGCCAGGTTTCCTCCAGACGTGACGCTTGGCATTCAGGCCAAAGAGTTCAATCTTGGTTTCATCAGACCAGAGAATCTTGTTTTGCATGGTCTGAGAGTTCTTTAGGTGCCTTTTGGCAAACTCCAAACTGGCTGTGATGTGCATTTTACTGAGGAGTGGCTTCCGTCTGGCCACTACAATAAAGGCCTGATTGGTGGAGTGTGCAGAGATGGTTGTCCTTCTGGAAGGTTCTCCCATCTCCACAGAGGAACTCGGGAGCTCTGTCAGAGTAACCATCAGGTTCCAACATGCACTGTCAACTGTGGGACCTTATATAGAAAGGTGTGTGCCTTTCCAAATCATGTCCAATAAATTGAATTTACCACAGGTGGACTCCAATCAAGTTGTAGAAACATCTCAAAGATGATCAATGGAAACAGGAAGCACCTGAGCTCAAATTCGAGTCTCATAGCTAAGGGTCTGAATACTTATGTAAATAAGGTATTTCTGTTTTAAATTTTGTATACATTTGCAAAAATTTCTTAAAACCTGTTTTCGCTTTATCATTATCGGGTATTGTGTGTAGATTGATTAGGATTTATTTTTATTTAATGCATTTCAGAATAAGGCTGTAACGTAACAAAAGTGGTTTGAATACTTTCCGATTGTCCTCGATTGGACTTGGGCAGGGGTCCCACTATGTCCATGGCTATCCTCTGAAAAGGGGTATTGATTATTGGTAAAGGGATTAAGGGATTTTTGTAGGTTACCTTTAGGCCTGTTTTCTGACAGTCCTCGCACTGCCGGCAGTAATCCTGGACAGGCCTCTTCACTCCGGGCCAGTAGAACCGAGCCAGGATCCGATCATAGGGTTTCTGCACTCCTAGGTGTGCTCCGAGGAAATGTGAGTGTGCTAGGTATAGGACTTTGGAGATGTAACATTTGGGCACTAAGAGTTGTTCTACCATTTCGTCTCCCACTTTCACAACCCGATAAAATAGATTATTTTTGACAGCAAAATGTGGAAAGGAACGATCACTCACCCTCTCTACTGGTTTTCCACCGACAGCTTCCACACTCGTCCTCGCCTGCTTCAGGTTGGGATCAGTGAGTTGGCCAGTGCTGAACTGTCCCGGGAGGTTCTCTTTCCCACCTCCGCAAAGGGAAACTCTGAAAACATTTTTCCAGGGGAGTTCTCCTCCCCGGGGTTCTCTTCATCTCGGTCGATGCCGGGGGGAGCCAAGGGGGGATCGGCTGGGGCCTCTACAGAGTCTGAGGAGGTGGGCGGGAAAGCAGCGACACAGGCTGGTATGACGCTTCTACGTCAGGGAACCGTTCTCCTTTTCCCCAAAGCTGTTCTCCTAGGGGCTGTGGCCCCTCTGCTCCAAAATCTCTGGAAAATTGGGCAGTCCCAGCCCAGTAGGACATCTACTGGCAATTTCTCTACTACGCCAGCTACAATCACAAACTACCTTGAGGGGTTTGCACTTCCACGCGGCAGGTGGGGTAACTTTTCGTATCTCCATGTATACAAGCCACTGTTATGGGCGGCCCTAAGGTGTCGGCGGCAAATTGAGGCTTGATGAGAGTGACCATACTGCCTGTGTCCAACAAGGCGGACGCATCCTGACTGCCTATTTTGACGGAGATCTGGGGGGCTGCAGTGGCTTAGTGGGCCCAGCAGGTTGTGAGGTAGTCGCACCTTCTGTTGGTCTTCTCTGCGGGACTGGCAGTCGGTAGGGACTCGTCGTTTCCCGGGCACCTCCAGTCCAGGTGTCCCTCCTGGCCACAGGTGTAACACCTTCTCTGGTCCCCGCTAACTAGCGGCCGCCACCTCGGGGGTGATCTGGGTTGCATGGTGCTTTGCGTCGGTGGGCAGGCCCCGGATACATTTGTCCATTACCAGTCGATCTATTGCTGATGGCCCGTCCCCCCGTGGTAAGCCAACGTCTAGTTAGTCTAACTAGGTCGGCTATTTGAGGTCTTACCGGGGCATGGCCATCATAAGCCCAGGAGTGGAACCGTTGGGCCCAGGTTGGTAGGTTTTGCCCATAATGGGCCAAGATAGCAGTTTTCAGAGCAGCATAGTTGTCGACGTCCGCCAGTGCCAAGTCCCTACAGGCCCTCTGGGCTTCTTCAGTCAGAAAGGGGGCCACTTTGCCAGCTCAGTTCTCCTTGTGCCATCGCTCTCTCTCTTCTGCAGTGCGCTCAAATACCTGTCATCTTCAGCAGTTATCTTGTTGAGGACCTTGCCTGGTTCCGTCATTCAGTCCAGCCGGACCACGGCTTGGCTAAGCTGTGTGACAGCCTCCTGAAGGGCAAGGAAGCTTTGGGCTTGCTGCGTTTGGGCTTCCCCAGCTGAGTTACAGCATTTTCCATGATGACCACCGGCTTCTTATTTTATTGTGAGTTCAGAGCATGGGAGGGTTGTGCCCGCATTCTCCACCAACTATGGCAGCCCAGGGGAGTCAGCGGTGAAACTCACAATAAAATAAGACAGCGGGAGATCGTTTTGCGGTGCTCAAACCACAGTTCTTTAATAAAGGTTGGGGGGAACGGGGAGGGTAACATAGAGGATGAAGACGGTGTTGACTGGGGTCATGAAGGAGAGGAGAGGAAGCTATGGCTAGGAGAATAAGGACATAGCCCATGGTTGCCGGGGTCTATATTTATCAGTGTTAACCAGACAGTGTTACTGCAGCTGGAGTTTATATATCTAATCCCCCTCGCCACTGTCTCAATGTTACTTAAAAACCAGCCCATTCTCTGCTGCACACACACACATGCACATGTACGCGCACGCTTGCACACAAACATACACACAGGAGATGGCTAGGTTTTGGAGAAGGGATCACCATGGCAACAGAGGCAGGATGGGCAGAGTGCAGACAGACTCCCAAAAACATGCAGCACCCACACAGAGGCAAAACACACACACACACACACACACACACACACACACACACACACACACACACACACACACACACACACTACTGATGTGTGGGTTGACTCATAACCCGCAGTCCCTGCGGTTATATCCGCGGGATGGATGGGTTTAGGGTCGAGTGGGTTGAATAAAAAAATCCATAAATGTATCATTCTTGTGCAATTTATATCTATAGGCTACTTTAGGTTATTCTTTCATTATTTTAGGCTATCTGGCATTAGTGCGTAAACCTAGAACCGGGAACGAAAGTGATCCATATACTGTTCCGCAACAGAACCATTATTTTAAAAGCATGGGAACCATTTAATAATGTTATTTTACATTCCAGGCATTTTTTTATAGTCCCACAAAAAAAAATGCAACTAAGCGCCTATGCAAAGCCCACACTGTGTCACTCAGAAACGTATGCCAGTGTCTGCCTGCAAGCTGAAACTCTTTGCCAGTGTGTGTGCGTGTTTAGGCTAGCTGCCCCTCCACCCTCCGAAGCATAGGCTACTGTACTGATGTTACCAGCGTGATTCAGAAGATAGGGAGAGAGATGTTTAATTAGCTTGAGAAGAATGGATTCACTTTTTCAATGCTAGTTAAGGATACTATAGGCCTAGTTATCACGTTTCACATTGGATTTATTAACGACAAAAAGGTAAAAAGTGTTTTTTATTCTGGTGCCGCTCTGCACACACAAGTTTGTTAGCTTGCTAGCTTAAGCTTGTTAGCTAGCTAGCTCAAGGTTGTTAGCTAGCTAGCTCAAAGGATATTCAAAGTTCCTTCATAGAAGCCGCTCCTCCCAGGTATAATTATGTGGACCTCATTCAGATAAAGCATGTCATTACAAGATGTCCTGCTCTTCAAGCCTCCTCCTCAACCCTCTCTCGCTTTCTCCCCACTTGCAAAATTTCAGTCGCATCTTATGCCATAGGCTACACTCTGTCCATCACGCATGTAAACAACTAGCTTGCCTGTTCTATCCGCACTGATTGGTGAAGTAATTGAATGAGCTAAATGTAAAAAAATGGTTGATTTCAAAGGTTAAAAAAAGTAACAGAAAGGAACGATATAAACTGGTACTTTTTGGGGGTTCGAACCGGTTCAGAACTTTATTTTGCTGGTCGGAACAGTGTAACGGAACAAAAACAATAGTGATTCTGTTCAAAACAAAACGATTGGAAAATAATTTAGGTTCCAACCCCTGCTTACAAGTAAACTAATCATTTTCTTTATTCTGTCAAACTTGATAATTGAAAATAAATATAAACAGAGGTTTTATAAGTAACATTGAGTTGATGTAGAATACTTGCCCTGGAGTAGGTGCGTCTCACCTATTCTGTAAGGTCTAAAGAGGGAGGGGTTACTAGGTAGGTTCCTCAGTCCTGCTAGTACACACACTATCTCACTTCAGGTTGTCACTGTGATAGCAAAACATTCTGAAGCCTTCCTCACTAGATCTAGTCAAGTGTACAGAATATATTAAGAGGCAAGTTGTGTTGGGAGCAGGGACCAAGATTCCTTTACTATCTCACCCGTCCAGGGCAAATCAAATCAAACGTATTTGTCACATGCTTCATAAACAACAGTTGTAGGCTAACAGTTAAATGCTTACTTACGGGTCAATTTTCCAACAATGCAGAGTCCTTTGTCCCTTTACTTGGTCGACAATAGAGTATTGAGAGGAACCCCTACAAGGCTCTACATCTGTACCTGTGCAAGAGTGTGAAAATGAATGACAAGATGTAGAGGCCTGAATTCCACACCCCATACTTCTCTCATAATGGAAAGCACCTGCTGTGGAATCTGACTTCTATATGGATGGCATTCACTTTAGCCCATATCATATTGCATCCATCACATTCACACACACACATATTCAATACACACACACCATTTTTACGCCATCAAACCCAATGTCCCATAGCGGATATCATACACACAAACACCATCAACCACCTGTGGTGTGTATCACAAATGATAGTATCAGCACACACACACACACACACACACACACACGCATACACACACACACACACACACACACCAGAGCATGTGAGCTGATTTGAGGGGTTGGGAATCCCGCTCCTAAAACCGCTCTGTGCTCTCAGGGAAAAAAACGGACGCTCCAAATTCGCTCCATTCATTAAAATCACAATTTAACCAACACCCATTTATTTTTGTGACAACCTGGACCTACCATTTGGTTTTAAAGTATTGAAACCAAAGCATGTGGATTTTGAATGAAAAGTATTTGAATAAACATGAAAAGGTGAATGTAAGAAGCGCACATCATTTCAAATAAGCTACATGTCATATTAAACAGCATATAAATACTCTAAATAGGTCAGGATCCAGACAGGAGGTCGAAAATGAATTATTTAGTCTATTTAATTTCAAATATTTCAAGGCTATAGCCTACAAAGAAATACACTGTGAAGCATTTGCGAGTGTGACACAATAGGCTGGTAGGGACAAAAAGCGCTCAGCATTTAAACAACATTTCGTTGTGTTAAATCATTATAGTCTATAAATTGCACATATAGGCTGTGACTTACTTAGAATTAAATACAAATTTAACTAAAAATGATTTATTAGTGCCTTTGAATTCATTTTTAGAAACACGACTTTGGCCATTCTGTGGCTTCAGGCTCATGCGATGGTGCCTGGAGAGCAGGCCAGCAGCGGAGAATATCCTCTCCTCACTTGCAGAGCCACTGGGGATGCTAAATACCCTTTTGGCCACTCTTGCCAGGCTGGGCAGATATGCAGAGTTTAACAAAAATGTATATAGGTAGGCCTAAAGGTTTTTAAGAAAACATAACCCAATCAAAACAGAATGATCCTTGAACATGGGAATATGCCAGGTCTATTGGGCCAAAATCAATTATGGCTATTGTATAGATCCGGGTTCCCCAACTGGCAGGCCACAGGCCAAATCTGTCCCACCAACAATATTATTTGGCCCCCCAAAGCCCCCAGAGGAGGGGAAGGAGGGAACTGGTGGGGGGTTGACACCTCACGCCCTGTTGTAAATCAAGGAGAGAAGATTCAGGTCTCCCTCTCCAATGTTCACCAGAGGAATGTGCCTTTGTGTCCACAGACTTTTCCCGCCGAAACTCTAACATGTTCTAAAGCGAATACTGGAACAATATTTCTAACATAGAACGTGGAGAATGGTCAGAAGTGATCTATAGAACTAATGTCAATTGGGTTGTTATTTTGTGATGTCATTAAAAATGTTATAAAGGAAATACTGTAACTTGGAAAGTATACCCAGTACATGTACGAAGTGTCCATCCTATATGTTGTGCATATAATATGAAAAATTATGCAAGTATTTTTGTTAAGAGGATGTGATTTGAGAACGCTATAAGAGATAATTGTTTTCCATAAGCTTTGCACAGTAAGTAGTTGTGAGGTCAGAGAGCGTGTCAGCCTGATGGAACCGGCCCTTTCGAGCAGAGTGTATAAAAGGATGGTCCTGTTTGTGTAATACTGAAGCATAAGTAAGCCTCTGTTTTTTTTCTGTTTTTTAATCTTTTTTGGGGGGGGGAAAGATTGTAACTTCCATCAATGTAATTGTCTGCATCACTTCCAATTCCCCATGTTTTTTTAATTTTTTATATATATACAGTGGGGAGAACAAGTATTTGATCCACTGCCGATTTTGCAGGTTTTCCTACTTACAAAGCATGTAGAGGTCTGTAATTTTTTATCATAGGTACACTCCAACTATGAGAGACGGAATCTAAAACAAAAATCCAGAAAATCACATTGTATGATTTTTAAGTAATTAATTTGCATTTTATTGCATGACATAAGTATTTGATCACCTACCAACCAGTAAGAGTTCCGGCTCTCACAGACCTGTTAGTTTTTCTTTAAGAAGCCCTCCTGTTCTCCACTCATTACCTGTATTAACTGCACCTGTTTGAACTCGTTACCTGTATAAAAGACACCTGTCCACACACTCAATCAAACAGACTCCAACCTCTCCACAATGGCTAAGACCAGAGAGCTGTATAAGGACATAAGGGATACAATTGTAGACCTGCACAAGGCTGGGATGGGCTACAGGACAATAGGCAAGCAGCTTGGTGAGAAGGCAACAACTGTTGGCACAATTATTAGAAAATGGAAGAAGTTCAAGATGACGGTCAATCACCCTCAGTCTGGGGCTCCATGCAAGATCTCACGTCGTGGGGCATCAATGATCATGAGGAAGGTGAGGGATCAGCCCAGAACTACACAGCAGGACCTGGTCAATGACCTGAAGAGAGCTGGGACCACAGTCTCAAAGAAAACCATTAGTAACACACTACGCCGTCATGGATTAAAATCCTGCAGCGCACGCAAGGTCCCCCTGCTCAAGCCAGCGCATGTCCAGGCCCGTCTGAAGTTTGCCAATGACCATCTGGATGATCCAGAGGAGGAATGGGAGAAGGTCATGTGGTCTGGTGAGACAAAAATAGAGCTTTTTGGTCTAAACTCCACTCGCCGTGTTTGGAGGAAGAAGAAGGATGAGTACAACCCCAAGAACACCATCCCAACCGTGAAGCATGGAGGTGGAAACATCACTTTTTGGGGATGCTTTTCTGCAAAGGGGACAGGACGACTGCACCGTATTGAGGGGAGGATGGATGGGGCCATGTATCGCGAGATCTTGTAAGAGATCAGTAAGAGCATTGAAGATGGGTCGTGGCTGGGTCTTCCAGCATGACAACGACCCGAAACACACAGCCAGGGCAACTAAGGAGTGGCTCCGTAAGATGCATCTCAAGGTCCTGGAGTGGCCTAGCCAGTCTCCAGACCTGAACCCAATAGAACATCTTTGGAGGGAGCTGAAAGTCCGTATTGCCCAGCGACAGCCCCGAGAACTGAAGGATCTGGAGAAGGTCTGTATGGAGGAGTGGGCCAAAATCCCTGCTGCAGTGTGTGCAAACCTGGTCAAGACCTACAGGAAACGTATGATCTCTGTAATTGCAAACAAAGGTTTCTGTACCAAATATTAAGTTCTGCTTTTCTGATGTATCAAATACTTATGTCATGCAATAAAATGCAAATTAATTACTTAAAAATCATACAATGTGATTTTCTGGATTTTTGTTTTAGATTCCGTCTCTCATAGTTGGAGTGTACCTATGATAAAAAATTACAGACCTCTACATGCTTTGTAAGTAGGAAAACCTGCAAAATCGGCAGTGTATCAAATACTTGTTCTCCCCACTGTATATATATACATATATACACACATACATACATATATATACACATACACAAATACATATACATATACACACATACACACCCACATGCATACATACATACACATACATATCCTTTAAAAAAAATATATATATTCCCCTTTATTACTTTCCAACCCGCCACCCTTTCCCCACTTGGAGTAATCAAGTGAACAACAAGGCCTAGGCCTCTACTTCCAGCCCATACCCACTATCTACATTTTATGGACCAGTCCATAATTTTAAAATAATTACATTTTGTTTGTTCTTTCTCCTGAACTTCTTCTAGTTTTAACCTCTCCGATCATTTTCATGATGTCCATCCGGTTTGCTTCTATATGCCATATCTTTCTAACTATGCTCCTTCAGAAAAGCTCCCCAATGTTATTGATCAATTGACTATGACTTTTCAGATCACCCAGTAGTGCTATCTGCAGGGTTAGCTCCAGGTAAATATTGCAATCCTTTAGCCATTCCTGGACCTGTGTCCAAAAACAAGCTACAAATGGACAGTACCAAAACAAATGATCTAATGATTCTCTCTTCGCAGCAAAATCTGCAGAGCTGGGAAGATTGTATCCCCCATATAAATAACATTCTATTGGTAGCAATAATTTTATATAATAATTTAAATTGAAAGATTCTAAGTTTTGAATGCGGTGTCGTTTTGCGTATCAGTTCATAAACACTATGCCATGGGATCGGTACGTCAAAAATCTCTTCCCAACTATTTTGCAATCTATATGGGACGGCTGTCAATCCTTTGGTCCTGAAATGAAACTCATATACTTTTTTATTTATCACAGTTTTCCTTAACCAATTATGTTATTTGATGCAAGGCCGACAGACAAGTTCCTTACTTTCTCCTTCCACTTTCCTCTTCCATTTTTGCGGTAAGGCTGCAATTATTTGGTTGTGATTTTGGGTAGAGCAGACATTTCCATATGTTTTTGTTAGCTGCATGTGCGACATAACTCCACCAGTCCTACCGATGATATCATTTACAAAGATTATACATTTTTTAAACATTTTGTCAAAAAAATGAAGGTTTTTTGTCAATTAGTATATTTGAGTTTAAACACAATATTTGTTGCATTATTTGTTCTGTCGTTTCTGGAGGATTAAATTGAAATTGCAACCAACTTTATATGGCTTGTTTTAGAAATAGTGATATCTGGGAGATGATTTCCTTTTCAAATAACTGAAAGTGAGTGGTTGTAATCTGAATAAAGGGAAAAAGGCCATTCTTGAACATTGGGTGAGACAATCTTACTAATTTGCTAGAGAACCAATTCGGATTTAAGTATAACTTTTGTATGACTGAAGCTTTAGTGATAGGTCTAATGCTTTAATGTTTAATAATTTCTGTCCTCCGAATTCATATTCATTATATAAATAGGCCCGTTTAATTTTGACTGGCTTGCCGTTCCAAATAAAATGGAATATTTTTTTCTCATATAATTTAAAAAACTGTTCGCTAGGCATAGGCAAGACCATAAGCAAATAGGTAAACTGGGATAATACTAAAGAGTTAATCAGGGTGATTTTTCCACAAATTGACAGGCACCCACCTTTCCATGGTAGCAAGATCTTATCTATTTTTGCTAACTTTCTATTATAATTTATTGAAGTGAGATCATTTATTTCCGAGTATATCCACATCACCATCAGACCATTTTATTGGTAAACTACATGGCAATGTAAAAATTGTATTTTTTATTGATCCAATACGTAATATAGTACATTTGTCATAATTTGGTTGTAATCCAGAGAGGTTAGAAAATGTATATTGATCCTCTATGAGGCTCTGGAGTGATTCTAGTTGTGGATTTAAAAGAAAACATGAATCATCAGCGTACAATGACACCTTTGTTTTTAAGCCCTGTATTTCTAATCCCCTGAAATTATTGTTGGATCTGATTTTAATAGCTAACATCTCGATGGCCACAATAAATAGATATGCCGATAGTGGACAACCTTGTTTCACTCCTCTTGACAGTTTAAAACTTTCTGAGAAATAGCCATTATTTACTATTTTACACCTAGGGTTACTATACATGTTTTTGACCCATTTTATAAGAGATTCACCAAAATTGAAATGCTCCAGGCATTTATATATAAACCCCAGTCGTTCTTTATCAAATGCCTTTTCGAAGTCTGCTATGAATAGCAGGCCTGGTTTCTCAGATTTTCCATAATGTTCTATTGTTTCCAATACTTGCCTTATATTATCTCCAATGTATCTTCCATGTAAAAAACATGTCTGATTAGAATGAATAATATAAGGCAATAATATACCTTTTTCATTCTATGCGCTATACATTTTGCTAGAATTTTTGCATCACAACACTGAAGTGTAAGGGGCCTCCAATGTTTTAAATGGACTGGATCTTTATATTTTCCACTTGTATTCTGTTTCAGTAATAATGAGATCAGACCTTCTTCTTGAATGTCAGATAATCTACCATTTACTTAGGAGTGGTTAAAACATGCTAATAACGGTCCTCTTAGTTTATCAAAAAAGGTTTGGTATACTTTGACTGGTATGCCATCCAACCCTGGAGTTTTCCCGGACTTAAAGTCTTTATTTGCATCCAGAAGTTCCTCCTCTGTAATTTCACCTTCACATGAGTCTTTCTGTTTGGCTGTTAATTTTACATTATCAATAGAAAAAAATCTCTACAATTAGCTTCAGTTAGAGGAGATGGAGGCGACTGAAACGAAAACATATGCTTAAAGTACCTTGTTTCCTCCTTCAAAATATCATTTGGTGAATCATGGGTTACTCCGTCAATTGTAACCAGTTTCATAACATTATTTTTGGTAGCATTCCTATGTTGAAGATTAAAAAATAATTTGGTGCATTTTTCCCCATATTCCATCCAGTTTGCTTTATTTTTATAATATATTACACTTGATCTTTCTTGAATAAGTTTCTCCATTTATTTTTGTTTTTCATCAAATTTATTCTGAGCCTCTATGTTACAGTTTTTATTGCCATATATCTGTTCTGTTAGACTTTCTATTTCCTTTGTTAGTATAAACTCCTTTGACCAAAATTGTTTTTGTTTTCGAGATGAGTACTGAATTGCATGGCCTCTAAAGGCACATTTAAAGGTGTTCCATACAATAAGGGGATTTGCTGTACCTATGTTATGTCAGAAAAAGTCAGTTATAAATTCCTTTGTCCTAGTTAAAAATAAATTATCATCCAATAGGCTTTGATTAAATTTCCAATATCCTCGCCCACGTGGAAATTCAGTAAGAGTAATGTATATGCCAATTATATGATGGTACGACCGCATTCTGTCCCCTATCAACACTTTTTAAACTTTTGGTGCCAACAAGAATGAGATAAGAAAGAAGTCAAGACGACTAGCTTGATTGAGTCTCCGCCATGTATATCTCACTAGATCAGGATATTTAAGCCTCCATATATCTACTAGTTCTAATGTATCCATGACATTCACGATTTCTAATCCTAATTAGTTAATTGTTACATTATTAATTTAATCGGGTAACAATTAAACATAGTTAGTTAATTAGAGATATCAGTCTTCAGATTGATGTTAAAGTCACGTCACGACAGACGTTACCCTACCTAAATAATGCAAAAGTTACATTTTAACTTCATTCATGTAGCTCAGTTGGTAGAGCATGGCGTTTGCAATGCCAGGGTTGTGGGTTCGATTCCCACGGGGGGCCAGTATGAAAATGTATGCACTCATTAACTGTATGTCGCTCTGGATAAGAGCGTCTGCTAAATGACAAAAATTTTAAACATTTAAAATGAGACAGTCAACTAATAAAGCAGGCAGCGGACCAATTTGTGGTGCTGAAACGTAAAGTTGAAACTGCTGTGCAATCAATGGGAGGTGCAAAAAGCCTGGTGCTGAAAATATAGCTAACTTGTTATGCAAGTGGCGCACAGCAACAGATGGAGAAAAACTACAACAGTTGAGTATTTAATTTCAACAATAATCTTCATTTTAATTTGACTTTACAAACAACAACAGGGCTTAATTGGAGTCTATTTCTTCCAAACCTAGGCCTATATAAAATAACTTAACTCACTGGAGTAAGCTATGAGGCTTAACAGCATCTTTCACAATAAAAAAATATATGGCCTAATATATATATACTTACAATTGCAACTGGCCAAAAATGTAGCATCCTACATAAAACAATCATTTAAAGAAAAAATGACAATGTCTGTGTCTGAATGTCTGTATCGGGAGTCTCGGGATAGCCTGCTCCTGTAACGACAGAACAAACAGAAAATACTGTCAGCTTGAGCCCTAAATAGCCCTGGATAAGAACTCACAATAATGTTAGTATTTACTAAATACACTCATATAGGCCACTAAGTTATTTACTCGGACACGATCTTGTGGATGTCGGGTGAGATGGATGTGATTTTAATACGCAGGCAGTCTGACTTATGTGAAAGCCGGTTCCTGTCATGAGTCTATATTGCATTCATAGAGGAAAATGAGGACTCGCAGGTGTAAGTAGATCTAAACGTTGTTAGCACATAAAACACAAGTTTCTTTATTGTGCTGTATTCCACTGAGAATGCCACCCAAAACGCACACAAGAACTCGGCACTCCTGAGCGCATCCCTGATTTGGCTCGATGTCTGGAATTCAATCAGCTCAGTTTGAATTGCAGCCTCATTCAGCGAAGGTATCGTTTTCTTAGCAAGGGAGGATAATTCTCCACCTGGGCGGACTGTGAGACGATCACGTACAAACGCAATTATATCCTTGGGCATGCTGTAGTCTTCAAATCTGGTGGAGAAGTTGTCCCTCAGCTGTTTGATGAAATCTTCCATCACCTTTGTGACAATGCTGTGGCCTGGTCCCTCTGTCTGTAACTTATTCAGTGTCCTGAAGTGCACTAGCCTTCCAGATGACAAGTCCAAAGTACATGGTTTTTCCACCATGTACACAACTGTTTTCCCTCTTCCTTGTAACTGCAGATTTAACCCGTTTAAGTGACAGAATATGTCAGCCAAAAAAGCAGTGTGTGTAGCTTGTAGTTAACGCTTCAATGTTTCTGCGTTGGGCCTTTGTCTGGGACGGGATGGCCACTTTGAAAGTTCCATGCTTAGATTCATAATGACGTCTGAGATTGAATTATTTGCAAGCAGCGACATCTTAATTGCAAATAATACACACTGACTTGGCATTGGGAAAAGATGTTAAGTTGAACGCATATCTTCCCTGAAATGTCGATTTTCATTATCCACCTTTCTTTTGATACTTTTTGAGAGCGACATTTTCTCTTGCTATCAAGCTAATTGTTCTGAACAAATGTTGACGTTAAAAAAGTAGTGTAACCTACAGTAGGCTACGTAGACCTGTTTTTCCCCACAAATCAACACACAGAGAAATAGACAAAAGTAATAATTTAATAGAGACATTGGTGATTTTATGAGTGTAATCAGATCGAAATGATGATGTTATTGTCACTGAATGTATTATGTATTAATCAGATATGTTAAAAATGTTGTTCAATTAGTAGTGTAGGCCAATTAATTGTGCTAATATTATATGCTAAATATGTTCTGGCTCCCCAACTATTAGCTCAGAAATAATTGGCACGAGGCCAAACCTAGTTGAAGAACCCTGGATTAGATAATAGAACAACTAAACGTTTAAGAGCTCTGATTTTTTGTTTATAAACACTTTGCTACAATGACACACTTAGTTATCTACCCACCTCGTTCCTTTCTTTTAGCATGTGCACGTAGTAAGTACACCATCATGCTTTCGGGATACGTGTCTTTTCAGATTCCACAATGATTCTTTAGTTGTGTACCCTACATCACCACACTCCCTCTCTTGCTCTTGGTCCTCATTTAGCACCTGTGTGTTCTATACGTTTCTTTATGAAAATATTTAGCGAACTCCATTACAGTAGCTAAAGCAAAGGGCTATAGCAGCACACAAGTAGGCTACAAATGCATGCTGGGCCGGGCATGCCCTGAGCCGGTGAAGTGAGCGCTACTGGAGCGAAATTGGAACGGGTGAGAAGGCCGACGCTCCAGCCTTTGAGAATCTCGCTCTGCGCTCCAGTCAAATTGGGCACGCTCCGCTCCAGCTCCGCTCCGCTCACATACTCTAACACACACACAGACAGACACACAAACACACACACACACACACAGCTCAGAACACCTGGTATATCTGCAGGCAACACAAGCATCCAAGCACTGAAACAGGCGAAAATACAGTCACCCTGACCTATGGCAAAATGGCATTAACACCCCTAGCAACATGCCACCATCAAACAATATGTTTTGACTACCTGTTTACAGTATGTGTATTCGGGGAAGTGGTATATTGTAGGTGCAGTTATCACAATGCGCTAACAAAAAAGAGGAGTCAGAGAGAGATTTTGTCAGAGAGGGGGAGTGGAAAGAAAGAAAGAAAGAAAGAAAGAAAGAAAGAAAGAAAGAAAGAAAGAAAGAAAGAAAGAAAGAAAGAAAGAAAGAAAGAAAGAAAGAAAGAAAGAAAGAAAGAAAGAAAGAAAGAAAGAAAGAAAGAAAGAAAGAAAGGAAGAAAGAGCGATGGCGGAAGAGGAAAGACGAATGGTAGGCGGGTAACATTCATCAGAGAGGGTAACATTCATCCCAAGGCTTTCATTCTTTCTTGCAGCCTGTAATTGTCAGCCAATTGCAGCCGACCTCTGTGGTGAAGTGGAGTGGAGTGTGAGGACTAGTGGGTCAGCTTTGCTACCGTCTGGTTCCCCTGGAGGATTGGCTGATTAGATCACTGTCTCCCCACCGGAGAAGTCACAGAGCTGGGTCTATCCCTGGAGCACCACTCCCTACAGGCCTGGAGGTCTGGATGGTACAGTAGGGGCTGATGTGGGAGAGAAGTTTCCAGAGCCCTGGGCCTGGGGAGACTGGGGAGGGTGTGGGGGTTAGATATCTGGGTCTAGGGAGGTCCAGGGAGGTCTGGATGGGGATCAGAAGTCCTGTCTCTGGGGTTCTGTCTGTGTGACAGGGACAGTCTGCTGGTGCCAGCTGGGGCTGGGCTCCCTCTGTGTCTGGGCCACGTCGGAAAACCCTGACTGCATGGGACTCTCTCACACACACACACATACTCACTCACGATGCAGGGTAATGGGTAAGTAATGACTGAATTATGCATTTTCATACACACACACACCAGTGGAGGCTGCTGAGGGGAGGACGGCTCATAATAATCACTGGAACGGAGTGAATGGAATGGCTTCAAACACTTGGAAACCATGTATTTGATCCCGTTCAACCTATTCCAACCTAACCTATTAAGGTGCCACCAACTTCCTGTGACACACACGGACACAGAGAGGCAGCAAAATACAGGAATAAAGCAGAGGAAGGGGAAAGAGGGAGAGAGAACACCCTCTGGTGTTAACATGAACTGTGTGTCATAGTGGACCCTTACTCCTGTTATAGTTTTCCCTTGACCACATCCCTGACTATGACTCATAACACACACACACTTTAATTGCATGTTCTCATTCACACATGACCTGGCCTCCTCGCCTTTGGTGATGGCGGTACAAGAGGAGGGGAGTAAGTCACACACACAGTGTAGTTCCAGGCTAGGCCCAGAGCCAGAGGTATGGTTACTAAATGCAGTCTTTAAATAGCATTGGCCTGGCCTAGGGATGTTTACCATACACTGAAGCACAGAACAGAATCTAGCTAGCCATTGTTGCTATACTCTCTACACAGATATATAGAGAGAGGGAGGATAGCTAATAGGCACACTGTACTAGCCTCACCCACACCTGATTCTGACCTGGGATACTGAGCTGGGCTATGATGACTGGTTTATGTGATGACTACAGGGATGGTGATGACTGGCTTTGTAATGTCCCACTATTGCCACTGCTGTATGTCACATACTCTTTGGTCAAGTAAACTGGTGGCACTGTTCTTCACTATGCCTAGTCTAATCTAGAACACAACTACAGTGTATACCATACTGTTACCTAGAAGTACTTGGTGTACTAAACTAGAACAGAACTGAACTGCAGTGTTCTGCTCTAGTATTGAGTGCTGCAGTATTTCCTAGTAATCTGCTTGACAGTGTTTGGTTCCCCTCTGTAATGTTGGGTGCTCTGATCTTGTGTATTTTTCTCTATGTAGTGCAATACTGAGGTGGTGCAATATGGAGAGCGCCGTTTTCATTGTTCCCTCAGCCGCCCACTCCACTGTCCCTCCCTGATGACAGCATCAAAAGAGGACAATAGGAGAAGATAAAGGCAGTCGAGGTATCTACCATTCATTCCAGCAGCCCAGAATAAAATGAGAGAGAAAGCGAGAAGGAGAGAGAGGACGGAGCGAGAGAAGGAGAGAGAAAGTGCCATCTGAAGCACTCTCAGATATTCCCTTATCAAAAAGCCTTTGTGTGCAGATATACTGTTGTCATCAGAACTGAATATGGGCCACACACCCACATATACAGTGCCTTCAGAAAGTATTCACACCCCTTGACTTTTTCCACATTTTGTTGTGTTACAACCTGAATTTAAAATAGATTAAATTAAGATTTTGTGTCACTAGCCTACACACTAGTGATGCACAGGTTGACTCATAACCCGAAATCCCCACAGTTATATCCGCAGGGTGGACGGGTTTAGGGTCATTAAATATTGGGTGGATGAAGGGCGGGTGGGTGGCAGGCGGGTTGAATAAAGAGATAACTTACACGCCAATCGACAAATGCTTTTGGGAACAGGCAGAAAAAGTTTATGTCAATTCACGGAGGCAAAAAGGACAATGTCGGAGTTTAATTCAATAACAGAAAAGATGTGAAATGGAGAGTTGATAATAAAGAGAAGGGAGGGCCAGCAAACTAATGTTTGGAACATATTTGGTGAAATGGTAAAAGAGGATGATAGCAGTACCGGCTATGTTATGTTTGAGGATTGTGAGGCGCTATACAAATTCGACAGTCACAAAACGTGGACTTCAAATAGGCCTATGGCACGTCAAGGGAACTGTAGTCTACTGTTTACTGTTCAGATGGGTTAAATGGAAACTGAAATTTGGACATTGACGGTAGGTCTATAACGTCTCACACATAGCCTTAATATTAACTCCTGCAAAATTAAGCATTTCTTGCACTAAAATTATACACTAAATGTAGGCAAAATTTGGACTCGGGAACTGGAGTGGAGAAAAATGATTTATTTATTTCAACATCTTGAGAGAATGCGAATGCTCAGTTAGATACCGTCTTTAGCAGTGGAGGCTCCTCAGAAGAGGAAGGGGAGGACGATCCTCCTCAGCAAATTTCATAAAAATAAAAATAGTGAAACATTAAAAAAGTTATCCTATTTAGATAAAACTATACTAAATATATCAACATGTCACCAAATAATTGATTAAACCACACTGTTTTGCAATGAAGGTCTACGGTAGCCTCAGCTGCACTCTGTAGGGTAGCACCATGGTGTAGCCGGAGGACAGCTAGATACTGTCCTCCGCTGGGTATATTGACTTCAAAACAAAACATAGGAGGCTCATGGTTCTCACCCTCTTCCATAGACTGTAATTTTGACAACTTCCGGAGGACGTGCTCCAACCTATCAGAGCTCTTACAGCATGAACTGGCATGTTGTCTACCCAATCAAAAGAGAGAGAATGAATCTAGTACTGAAAGCATAAGCTACTGCTAGCTAGCACTGCAGTAAATTAAATGTGGTGAGTGGTTGACTCAAAGGGAGAGAAAGACATTAGTTGAAAAGTGTTGAACAAATTTATTTATTCCAGAATTAAGGAGATGCAAGAGAGAGAAAGAGCGAGAGAGAGAGATAGCTTTTTCCACATTTTTACGTTACAGCCTTATTCTAAAATTGATAAAAAAATAAAAAAAATCCTCATCAATCTACACACAATACCCCATAATGATGAAGCAAAAACAAGTTATTAGACATTTTAGCAAATTTATTAAAAAATATAAAACTGAAATATTACATTTACATACGTTTTCAGACCCTTTACTCAGTACTTTGTTGAAGCACCTTTGGCAGCGATTACAGCATCGAGTCTTCTTGGGTATGACGCTACAAGCTTGGCACACCTGAATTTGGGGAGTTTCTCCCATTATTCTCTGCAGATCCTCTCAAGCTCTGTCAGGTTGGATGGGGAGAGTTGCTGCACAGCTATTCTCAGGTCTCTCCAGAGATGTTCGATCAGGTTCAAGTCCGGGCTCTGGCTGGGCCACTCAAGGACATTCAGAGACTTGTCCCGAAGCCACTCCTGTTTTGTCTTGGCTGTGTGTTTAGGGTCATTGTAATGTTGGAAGGTGAACCTTCACCCCAGTCTGAGGTCCTGAGCGCTCTGGAGCAGGTTTTCATCAAGGATCTCTCTGTACTTTGCTCCGATCATTTTTCCCTCGATCCTGACTAGTCTCCCAGTCCCTGCCTCTGAAAAATATGCCCACAGCATGATGCTGCCACCACCATGATTCACCGTAGGGATGGTGCCAGGTTTCCTCCAGACGTGAAGCTTGGCATTCAGGCCAAAGAGTTCAATCTTGTTTTCATCAGACCAGATAATCTTGTTTCTCATGGTCTGAGAGTCTTTAGGTGCCTTCTGGCAAACTCCAAGCGGGCTGTGATGTGCCTTTTACTGAGGAGTGGCTTCCGTCTGGCCACTCTACCATAAAGGCCTGATTGGTGGAGTGCTGCAGAGATGGTTGTCCTTCTGGAAAGTTCTCCCATCTCCACAGAGGAACTCTAGAGCTCTGTCAGAGTGACCATCGGGTTCTTGGTCACCTCCCTGACCAAGGCCCTTCTTCCCCGATTACTCAGTTTGGCCGGGCGGCCAGCTCTAGGAAGAGTCTTGGTGTTTCCAAACTTCTTCCATTTAATAATGATGGAGGCCATTGTGTTCTTGGGGATTTTTATTTATTTAATCCATTTTAGAATAAGGCTGTAACGTAACAAAATGTGGAAAAAGTCAAGGGGTGTGAAAACTTTCTGAAGGTACTGTATATACAACGAGCAAAGTGATCATGCTGTTTTTATGTGGCTGCTATGAAAGTGAACTGTGTTTGCATGTGATCAAGGGTGCATTCATTCCACCGATTCTGTTGAAAAACATTTCTTAAACGGAAGCAAACTGAACGGAATGGGGATAAACATACTGGAATTTATCCAATAAAAACTCACATTTGGAACTGTTGGACTAATGATTACACCCTATATCAGGTAGATGCAGGCAAGAGTGTGCAAGGTGGTATAGAATGCATCACTGTCTGCCCCCTTGATTACAAAAAAATCTCTCAACCTGTGCACCTACGTTGTAAACTTTCATTCATGCTGTAGGCTAGGTTGTAGCAAACAAAAAATTTGAGTATCGTGTAGTAGCCTAAACCTATCGATTTTACATTGAGCTGGGTGAATGGAATATCAATGACAGTAATTCAATATGCTGTAATGGAAACAATAATAATAAAACAATTATCATCCTCCCTCATGATAAATGGCACGGACCACCACTGGTCTGTAGAGGTGCTATCTTTATCAGCATAATAAAAGCTGATAGTATTTCAACCACAAGCCGAACTGAAATCTTATCATAAACATGTTGGGTCATTTTCAGAGCTTTCTATTTCAGGGTCAAACTCACGTCATTTGGAAATGGTGCACAGAAAATCATTCAGTTTTTTTTGTTATTGCATTTTCTCCCCGGTCCCTAAACGTCTTTGCTCCGCATTCTATGGATTTATGACACTATTCTGGTGAGCAAGGGTTTCTTTAGTCTTGTAGGGCAACATATAATGACAGAAGAGAAGCTGCATGTATATAACTATAGACAAGTTGACTAACAAATAGCCTACCAAAATGTCAGAAATTATATGCAGAAACATATCTAAATCAGGCAAAAAAATATACTGTACCCCCTGTCAAAAAATCGTTCCGCCATCTATGACTGTAGCCTACAGCGCATTTTCTATATTAGCGGGTTAGGGTTGGGTGCGGGCCTGAGATTTTCACTTTATCACATGTACAGTGGGGGGAAAAAGTATTTAGTCAGCCACCAATTGTGCAAGTTCTCCCACTTAAAAAGACGAGAGAGGCCTGTAAATAACAGCCGGTCTCAAGGTAATTGGCCTTTCATGAAAATAAACACATTTAGCATCTCCTGGCTTCCACGCATAGCCTACAAGCCACTGATCCAGACCTTTGGAACATCTACATTTAAAAAAGTATAATAAATCCATTTAATATAGCCTACACCATCACAATAAATCCATTATTTATTTTAGACAGGTCTAAAGAAAAACATGATATGAAGAAAATGTAATCTATTTCAGAAGAACAGAATAGCATAGTCTGAGTTTTCCTTATGTTAGGCCCTGATCTGGCTATGCCATTTGGCTGTGGGCTACACTAGTTCATTTAGCAGACAAGATTTGCTTAGAATTCCGTGACATTATTTTATACTATTTCATAGTATGAAGAATATAATTGAACATAGCTGAATAAAATAGAAAGGATGATTTCAAACGATTTCTGAGGGAGTGCGCACATGCGGCTATTCCGTCTTGAGCTGTTAACAAAGAAACAGGTCCTCATATATGCTTAATTTAGAGTTAATTATGTGATACAAACATTGGGCTATATGTTTAGATTTTGAATACATTCTATGGCTGCATGATGTGACTCTAATGTTGATTTGAAAAAAGTTGCATGGAAGGCATGAGCTCTGCTTTGTTTCTTGAACAGGCTGCACACACATCATCAGTCTCTCATTCACAATTTGACAAGCACTTGATAATGCCTCGAATTTCCTGGCGTCATCTACCTAGTGTGGCCATAATGCCCCCTAAAAACATCCATGCCTTTTGCGGCCAGTGGCCGTTGTGCCCTTCGGCTGAATACATTGATGTCAGAGTGATTAAAGGGACAATAGAGTAATGAGTACCAGGCAGTTAGCAAGTTTGGAAGGCTACTAATGACCATCAGCAGCATCAGAGCTTGGAGAAGCCTAGTTACCATGACTAAATGGTCACATGGAATTTGACTGCGGTCATGACTCGTGACTGCCAGTGTGGCGGTAATACGGTCACCGTAACAGCCCTAGATCCACGCACCACTACTACACACAATACCGCATAATGTCAAAGTGGAATTATGTTTTTAGACATTTTTACTAATTAATTAAAAATGAAAAGATGAAATGTCTTGAGTCAATAAGTATTCAACCCCTTTGTTATGGCAAGCCTAAATAAGTAGTAAAAAGGAGTCAACATTTGCTTAACAAGTCACATAATAAATTGCATGGACTCAATCTGTGTGCAATAATAGTGTTTAACATGATTTTTGAATGACTACCTCATGTCTATACCCCACACATAGTTATCTGTAAGGTCCCTCAGTCGAGCAGTGAATTTCAAACACAGATTAAATCACAAAGACCAGGGAGGTTTTCCAATGCCTCTTAAAGAAGGGCACCTATTGGTAGATGGGTAAAAAAAAGCAGACATTGAATATCCCTTTGAGCATGGTGAAGTTATTAATTACACTTTTGATGGTGTATCAATACACTCAGTCACTACAAAGATACAGGCATCCTTCCTAACTCAATTGCCAGAGAGGAAGGAAACCACTCAGGGATTTCACCATGAAGCCAATGTTGACTTCAAAACAGTTACAGAGTTTAATGGCTGTAAAAGGAGAAAACTGAGGATGGATCAACAACATTGTAGTTACTCCACAACACTAACCAAAATGATAGAGTGAAAAGAAGGAAGCCTGTACAGAATAACAAATATTCCAAAACACGCATCCTGATTGCAATAAGGCATTAAAGTAAAACTGCAAAAAAATGTGGCAATTAAATTAACTTTACAGTATGTCCTGAATGCAAAGTCTTATGTTTGGGGCAAATCCAACACAACACACCACTGAGTACGACTCTTCATATTTTCAATCATGGTGGTGGCTGCATCATGTTATGGGAATGCTTGTCATTGTCAAGGACTAGGGAGTTTTTGGGGGGGGATAAAAAGAAACAGACTAGAGCTAAGCACAGGCAATATCTTAGAGGAAAACCTGGTTCAGTCTGCTTTCCAACAGACACTTGGAGACAAAATCACCTTTCAGCGGGACAATAACCTGGAGTTGCTTACCAAGATGACATTGAATATTCGTAAGTGGCCTAGTTACAGTTAAAGACTTACAGTGGCTTGAAAATATATGGCAAGACTTGAAAATGCCTATCTAGCAATAATCAAAAATCAACTTGACAGAGCTTGAAGAATTTTACCCAGAAACACTCACAGCTGTAATCGTGATTCTAACATGTATTGAAATTAGTGTTTCATTTTTCATTATTTGTTTTGACAAATGTTAGAATTTTTCTTCCACTTTGACATTACAAAGTATTTTGTGTAGATCGCTGACAAAAAAGGACAATGAAGTACATTTTTATCCCACCTTGTAACACAACAAAATGTGGAAAAAGTCAAGGGGTGTGAAAACTTTCTGAACACACTCACACAGACACACACACACGCCCACACAAACACATGTTTTTCAAAGCGTGTATGGGTTAAGGTGTTTGAGATTTTGAGTTCAGTTTTTTTGGAAACAGAGAGAGTGAAAGTGAGAGAAGCAGGGGATAGGATAAGGAGGGGAGAGGAGGACACACTGTGTTCAGTAGAGCATGTATTAGAGTGTGTTGACGTGTCCCTTTAGTCGGGGAACACCATGGCAGCTCCAGGACTGTCAGGCACTGCTCCTCAGAGACCCATACTGTCACCCGTTCCTCTCCTCCACCTCTCTTGTTCCTCTACCCCAAACCGCCTTCCCTTTCTCTACCCACTCTTTCCTTCCTCTTGTCTATCCTCTCACCTCTCCTTCTCTCCTATCCCCCCACCCTCCTTTATCAACTCCTCTCCTCTCTCCACGAGCATACCAGACAAGCTAAATTACTTCTATGCTCGCTTTGAGGCAAGTAACACTGAAACATGCATGAGAGCATCAGCTGTTCCAGACGACTGTGCGATCACGCTCTCTGTAGCCGATGTGAGTAAGACCTTTAAACAGGCCGCAGGGCCAGACGGATTACCAGGATGTGTACTCCAGGCACACGCTGACCAACTGGCAAGTGTCTTCACTGACATTTTCAACCTCTCCCTGTCTGAGACAGTAATACCAACATGTTTCAAGCAGACCACCATAGTCCCTGTGCCCAAGAACACTAAGGTAACCTGCCTAAATGACTACCGACCCGTAGCACTCACGTCTGTAGCCATGAAGTGCTTTGAAAGGCTGGTCATGGCTCACATCAACATCATTATCCCAGAAACCCTAGACCCACTCCAATTTGCATACCGCCCCAACAGATCTACAGATGATGCAATCTCTATTGCGCTCCACACTGCCCTTTTCCACCTGGACAAAAGGAACACCTATTCATTGACTACAGCTCATCGTTCAACACCATAGTGCCCTCAAAGCTCATCACTAAGCTAAGGAACCTGGAACTAAACACCTTCCTCTGCAACTGGATCCTGGACTTCCTGACGGGCCGTTCCCAGGTGGTAAGGGTAGGTAACAACACATCCGCCACGCTGATCCTCAACACGGGGGACCCTCAAGGGGTGCGTACTCAGTCCCCTCCTGTACTCCCTGTTCCCTCATGACTTCATGGCCAGGTACAACTCTAACACCATCATTAAGTTTGCAGATGACACAACAGTGGTAGGCCTGATCACTGACAACGACGAGACAGCCTATAGGGAGGAGGTCAGAGACCTGGCCGTGTGGTGCCAGGACAACGACAGGTTGTAGTGGAGCAGGTTGAGAGCTTCAAGAACAAACGAATATGGTCCAAGCACACCAAGACAGTTGTGAAGAGGGCACGACAAAACTATTCCCCCTAAGGAGACTGAAAGGATTTGGCATGGGTCCTCAGATCCTCAAAAGGTTATACAGCTGCACCATCGAGAGCATTCTGACTGGTTGCATCACTGACTGGTATGGCAACTGCTCAGCCTCCGACCGCAAGGCACTACAGAGGGTAGTGCGTACGGTCCAGTACATCACTGGGGCAAAGCTTCCTGCCATCCAGGACCTCTATACCAGGCGGTGTCAGAGGAAGGCCCTAAAAATTGTCAAAGACTACAGCACAGCGCCAAGTCTAGGTCCAATAGGCTTCTAAAAGCTTCTACCCCCAAGCCATAAGACTCCTGAACATCTAATCAAATGTCTACCCAGACTATTTGCATTGCCCTCCCCCCCCCCCCCCCTCCACTTTTACGCTGCTGCTACTCTCTGTTTATTATCTATGCATAGTCACTTTAATAACTCTACCTACATGTACATATTACCTCAATTACCTCAACTAACCGGTACCCCGCACCTTGACTCAGTAACAGTACCCCCTGCAATTGTTATTTTACTGCTGCTCTTTAATTATTTGTTACCTTTCATTCTTATTTTTGTAGGTATTCTTTCTTAAAACTGCATTATTGGTTAAGGGCTTGTAAGCATTTCACTGTAAGGTCTACACCTGTTGTATTCAGCGCATGTGACAAATACAATTTGATTTGATTTGATTTATCCTCTATTCCCCTTCTGTCTTTGTCGCTCCCTCTCATCTCCCCCTCTCCTCTCCTCTCCCCTTTCCTCTCAGCACTGTTGAGACAGGATGTCTGTACATGCCCAACACTGATCTTAACAGACATCTGTTCCGCCCCTCACTATGAGACAGGAAGAGACAGGATTGAGAAAATGCTACAAAACTCAAGAGTGAATTATGCAAGCTCTAGAGCAGAAACAAAATGGAGGATGTCAACAGCAAAACAAAAACCCATGAAATAGCACAGTATCTTACAAATACTTTAACCCCATGCTGAAGAGGCCTCCTAAATAAGAGTCAGATAGTGATTCACATCCTTTCTCCTTCACACCTGCAGTTACTGAAGCCACCAGGTGTGTATGAAGCCTAGAGGTGACTAAGAGGCTCTTTGATAGCTATGTCCATTCCACCACAAGCCCTTGTGACAGTGTGACGAGGCGAAGTGGATGGTGTTGACACTCACAGTTCGATGGCTTTGTTCCACATAATGACGTAGCCTGAGAGTGTGAAGGACTCCACGTTGACGATGTGGATGTTTCCTTTCTCTGTGCCGATGTACAGCCATTTACTCTGGAAGGGCAGGTGGACGAACGTGATCCTGGAAGACAGGGAGAGAAAAGAGAGAGTTTATGTAGGAGTTAAGAGACACAGGGAAATAGAGACACAGAGAGGTAGTAAAAGTAGTAGCATTAGACAAAGAGAGAGAAAAGAGAAAGGTATTGCTGGTGATATCCTATTTGCATTTTACAACACAGAAACTGTGCAGTTTAAGACTTGTCCTTGTTTTCTACAGTGAGCTTAATAATACTGAGCTGAGACCAAGGTGACGGTGGAGGTGTTTAAAACTCTATTGGGCACCTAATTACCGGACTGATACGAGAGAAGAGGACTGGACCAGAACACGTTACCCTTCCTTCCCTACTCTCCGTTTCATCTTCATTCTTTCATCAATTTGTCCAATACTTCCACTTGTCCTTCAACCATCAATCAATCCATTCATCCATTCATCCATCCATCCATCCATCCATCCATCCATCCATCTCTCTAGGTGAAGTTTAATGAATGGTCAAAAGCCTTTGAAAGCTACATCAGTCTCTACCTGAGTCAGCTTCTACCCCCAAGCCATAAGACTCCTAAATACTTATGACCGCTAAATAGTTAATCAATGTTTACCCGGACTATCTGCACTGAACCTATCTTGCACTGACTCTATACACAATCACAAGACTACACACTACTATATACATATTCACACACACTGCACTGACACTCTCACACAAAACCCACACGCATTCACATATACTACATACACACACGCACACATAACACAGACACGCATACCGACAACACAAACCCACATACACACACATGCACACACATACCAACACAACACAAACACACATACACACACACACTTTTACACTCATCATATGCTGCTGCTACTTCTTTATTTTACTATCCTGATGCCTAGTCACTTTATCCTGCCTTCATGTACCTCATACCCCTGCACATTGATCTGGTACTGGTACTCCCTGTATATAGCTCCATTCTTGTGTATTGTATTCCTTTTTTAACTCTGCAAAGTTTCACCCGTTGTATTCGGCGCATGTGACAAATACAATTTCATTAGATTTTACCTATAACCCAATGGTCATCTAACCCTACTAGTTATTTTGACCTGGAATCAGCACTATCTTTATAACAAGCCCTTCTCAAGTCCTCCTAATGGTGCATGAATAAAACAGGACCAACGTAGGTCGAACCGGTCATCCAACCAGGTCTGATATACCTGAACCAAGCACTTCTGACCAGAACCACACTCTCTCAGGGAAGGAGGGAGAAAAAAGAGGAGAGAAATGAAGAGGGGGAGGGAGGAAGAAGACTAGCGTAATTGTAGAGTTAGCTGAGTGTAGCCAATCCAAGTAGCTAGGTAGCTAGCTCACTTTTGTATGCAAGTCAATGAGAACAAGATGGCTTTTTTTTATTTATTTTTATTTTTTACAAACGAGGGCTCATATTGAGTGTATTTACATATGTGCATATGAACCACGCTAATGATATGTATTTTAGAAAGTTACTTTTTATGACATTTGTATTTAATTGTTAACCGCTAGCTATCTTAGTGATAGGCGATAGCTAGCCTTGCATTTCGTCTTAGCTAGCTATTTATGGATTCTGTTATTGTTAGCTGTCTATTGATTTTTGTTACATTTAATACACATGCCTAAAATGGATTTTAATGTATTTGAAAATGAGTGAATGTGTTTGCTATTGGAATGAATGTAAGCAAATACTTTTACATAATCTATACAGCTAAAAACGACAGTTGACATTGAGGTTAAAGAAACTATGCTTTGTCAATTTACCAGATTTTGCTAACCATTACTTTGGACAAAATCAGACGAAAATATTATTGTAACACTTTCTATATAAAAATCTAAAATAACAGCTCAATTTGAGCAAATTCTGAATTTGTGATTAATCGTGATTAATCACAGCAAATCCTGCGATTCACTCGATTAAATATTTAAACGTTTGACAGCCCTATTTTGAATTGAACAGTCAATATGCTGAGATTGAGAGAAATTGATAATACATTTAGTTGGAAGAGAAACCCAGTGTTATTCCTCTTGGTCTAATGTTCAAGACATTGGCTGCTCCCATGGGAGACCCAGGTTCTAATCCCGCCGGTTATAAAAGCACACGTGAAATGTAGAATATCACATGTGAAATGTTGGGAAACCATGTGTGAAAAATGTCAGAAACAAATAACATCTTCTTCACTTGACATTTGTTCACGTGATTTGTCCCCGAGTTCTGCTCTGTTGGCTACAGAGATGGGTATAAGAGCCCCTAAAGCAATCCTGTCCCATAGGCTCTGCTCATCCCTGTCTTTCCCTGACTAGTCCCCAATGACGTATGACACACAACTCAAGAACACATCATCATCTGGTTCTGTGGACTGGACACACACATGCACGCACCCATACACACACCTCTCACACATGCACACAGCTGTACACACAGCTCTCCCTCTCCCTTTCCTCCTCTCTCTCTCTTCCTGTGTCCATCTTTCGGATTCTCCTCCCTCTCCTTTTTCCCCAAACCCAATCCCCCTCCTCCCCTTCTCTCCTTCTCTTTCTCTATGTGTTTTTCTCCCTCAGTCTGTCTCTCAGTATCTTTCTGGCTGAAAGGCAATAGTGAGAAGCAGTGCATACTGTCAGACTGTACACACACACACACACACACAAGCACACACACACATATACCTGAGTAGAGCTGGTGCCTGTCTCTGCTCCACTGCTCTGCAGTACCATGAATATATTCATGGAGTTCAGGAGATGAGTCAGGCTGCTTGACATGCATCACATACACACACAAACACACAATCACAAAGCATGAGAACTCTCGCGCACACCAATATACTTACATACCAAAACGCAATCGCTCATTCATGCATACACACTTGTTCACACACACACAACAGATTCACACATGCATATCTAGTCATGACAGCTAGTGGCGTTATCATATTGCCAGTAGGTGGGAGGTAATTGATTTCATGTGTTGTGCCATAGACCCATCTGCACTATCATATGTGTGTGTGTGATGTTTTTGCATACATAGCATACTGTATGTGTGTGTATGTGTGTGTGTGTACGTGTGTGTGAGTGTGTGTGTGTGTGTGTGTGTGTACGTGCGTGCGTACGTGTGTGTGAGATAACTAATCAAGTATTCACCTGGCACACACTTAGCGCCCATAGGAGACATCCTCAGGGTTGATTGGAAAGGAAAAGTAAGGAACATAATTGCACATGAGTTTGTCTAAGTGCTTTTACATCTCACAAGAGCCTATCATATCTATAAAAGAAGATGCTTCTCCTAGAATTTCTCAGAATTTCTCCCCTATGTGAAAGCTAGGTGAATTGCAACAGCACTAGGCTGCATTCAAAACAAATCTCCCCCCTCCCCATTTCCCCGTAACATGGCGGAGACTTTCGGCTTTGGTCCACCAGCTTCAAACAGCTGTAAAATCAATATATTTTGTTTAAAAATATATATATTTCACACCAATTTAGATGGTACATTGATTCCCTTCACTATTCAGTGCTTGTTTTCTCACATAAAATGAAATTGAGCAAACAGTGTAGAATTATAGCAACCAGGAAATTACAGAGCGATTTCTACTAGATAACACAGACACAAAGTCAAAACAGCTTTCCCATTTTGACAACAGATGCCACTCCGGCAGGAGGAATCAATAGGCGAGTATCACAGCCAATCACAACACTGTGGGTAAGTAATACTGTGAAACACCATCATTCCACTATTAATGCAGTTATATTATGGACATTTTCAGAAATTATAATGCAAAAATGCAAAAAAATCCTATGTGGTCACAACACATGTAACAAGCATAGAGGCTGCATGCCGAACACATTTCCTCAGCAATGATAATCTACAGTACCAAGCTGATAGATTTGCTATTAACTATATAAAAAAAGATGAAACATGATCTGATCTGACACATTCTATGGTTGAACATAAATGTGTATTACTCCCTGTGTCACTGATTACCTACTGTATGATGTCATTTCCTGTGATGAAACAAAGGTAGGGGAATCAGTTTTGATTATTATTTTATTTTTTCATAATGGCAAAAACTTAACTTAAACTTAAATTGGTTAAAATTGTGATATATTACTAAATATATTTCTAAATAGTTCTAATTGATTACATTTTGTTTGCAAAAGCAATGTCCCCTTGGTGTGACACAATTCTGTGATTAGGAGGGTTCTCTTGCAATGAGGAAGTACAGAAGACATTGCCGTAGCACATGACAGTTATTTGCATTAGGCCTATTTGTATCCTGTTGCAATTTTTATATTTTTAAGTGGTTCTGAGTGCAATTATTACATATTCATTCTCCCACGCCTGGTTTCTCATTCTCGGGCAGGTGATCATTGATTACTCTGGCGACCTCTGGGTCTGTCTCTGCCACCTGGGGAGGGTCTGGTTCTTTTACCTGGCCCTAGTCAATCAATCAATCAAATGTATTTATAGAGCCCTTGTCACAAAGTGCTTATACAGAAACCGAGACTAAAACCCCAGAGAGCAAGCAATGCAGATGTAGAGGCTTGTTGGCTAGGAAAAACTCCCTAGAAAGGCAGGAACCTAGTGATGGTGCAGGCAGCTAATGGGGACTGGATGTGGTGCTCCCATTCCTGGTCTCACTCCCTGCATTAGACCTCTCTGTCTGTCCTATCAGTTTCTCTCATCCTGACCGATTGGCATACGTGATCCACCTTGGGAGGGCCCCATCAGTGGTGCCTCTTTTGGAGACTGTTCACTCTGCCTCCAATACGACCGGCCAGTCTCACTTCGAGCAAGAACCAGTCAACCCATATGTCTCAGTGGTCAGTTTCTCAAACCCCGTCGTTGGCTAAGTTGTGTGGTATACTCCAAAAACCCTCCAAAGGAACACCTCTTGAGCGGCACCTTGTCTCCCGGCTGTGGATAGGTTGTGGCCTCCCACTGGGTGCGCACGAGTGTGCATGGGTATCCTCCATCACTGGAGGACTGTGCCCCTGTGCCTCGCTGCATGCCCAGGTAAACCTCAATGTTGTGGGGGGCTACCTGGTTGATCCTACCAGTAGCATATTCTTGTCCCAAAGATTAAGCCATGCAAGTCTTAGTACACACGGTCGATACAGTGAAACTGTGAATGGCTCATTAAATCAGGTATGGCTCCAACGTTACTTGGATAACTGTGGCAATTCCTGACCTTCAGGATGCGTGTATTTATCAGACCAAAAACCCATGCGTGGTGCTCTCGGGCGCCCCGGCCGCTTTTGGTGACGCTTCGTGGTTCTGACGTCTAATTTGCCTGCCCTATCAACTTTCAATGGTACTTTCTGTGCCTACCATGGTGACGGAGAGGGAGCCTAAGAATTGGCTGCCAAATCCAAGGAAGGCAGCAGGCCCGCAAATTATCCACTCCCGACTCGGGGAGGTAGTGACGAAAAATAACAATACAAAATGCTTTTGAGTCCCTGTCTTTGGAATGAGTACACTTTAAATCCCTTTCATGAGGATCCATTATTGGTGTTTAGAACTGGTGGTTGGAAGCCTTTTCACAGTGGTAAGAAACTTCTGAAAGTGTCATTATTTATGTTTGATTAACCGTACAATCTGACTGCCTATTGTGTATTGTCCATCAGTGTGACATAATGTCCTACGGTGTGACACTGATAAATGAAAGGAAAAAAAACGTGTTGTCTTGGACAAAATGTACAAATAATTGTTAGCATGAGGCAGGTAACATTATCATAATACATAAGTAAACTTGCTTTTTGTCTAGGTTTAGTAACATTACTGTGAATCTTACCCAAAATGTAATGGCGAGACACTTGGGTATCATCATTGTACAAGGAAATTGTGTTTTTCAATTAAAATGCCAGAATATGAATATGAAAGATAGAAGTAACTACTACTGAGTAAAAATATTTTTCTTGCCTATTTGGGAATCATTCAACCTTTATAGTAACATTAATTATAATGTCCCAACAGAGGACAAATTCAAAGCACTAATGCATTAAATAGTTCATTAAATTGGATATAAACTTAACATTTAAGGTGGCCATATACGTTTATTACTTAGACATAGTTTATTGCAACTACAGTACATTCGGAAAGTATTCAGACTCCTTAACTTTTTCCACATTTTGTTATGTTACAGCCTTATTTGTTTCCCCCTCATCAATCTACACACAATACTCCATAATGGCAAAGCAAAAACAGTTTATTAGTTTTTTGTGTGCAAATTTAAAAATAAATACATATTGAAATATTACATTTACATAAGTATTCAGACCCTTTACTGAGTACTTTGTTGAATCACCTTTGGCAGCGATTACAGCCTCAAGTCTTCTTGGGTATGAAGCTACAAGCTTGGCACACCTGTATTTGAGGAGTTTCTCCCATTCTTCTCTGCAGATCCTCTCAAGCTCTGTCAGGTTGGATGGGGAGCGTCGCTGAACAACTATTTTCAGGTCTCTCCAGAGATGTTAGATCGGGTTCACGTCCGGGCTCTGGCAGGGCACTCAAGGACATTCAGACACTTGTCCCGAAGCCACTCCTGCGTTGTCTTGGCTGTGTGCTTAGGGTCGTTGTCCTGTTGGAAGTTGAACCTTCACCCCAGTCTGAGGTCCTGAGTGCTCTGGAGAAAGTTTTCATCAAGGATCTCTCTGTACTTTTCTCCGATCATCTTTCCCTCGAACCTGACTAGTCTCCCAGTCCCTGCCGCTGAAAAACATCCCCACAGCATGATGCTGCCACCTCCATGCTTCACCGTAGGGATGGTGCCAGGTTTCCTCCAGACGTGATGCTTGGCATTCAGGCCAAAGAGTTCAATCTTGGTTTTATCAGACCAGAGAATCTTGTTTCTCATGGTCTGAGAGTCCTTTAGTTGCCTTTTGGCAAAGTCCAAGCGGGCTGTCATGTGCCTTTTACTGAGGAGTGGCTTCCGTCTCTGAGGAGGCCCTTCTCCCCCGATTGCTCAGTTTGGCCGGGCAGCTAGTTGGTGGTTCCAAACTTCTTCCATTTAAGAATGATGGAGGCCACTGTGTTCTTGGGGACCTTCAATGCTGCAGACATATTTTGGTACCCTTCCCCACATCTGTGCCTCGACACAATCCTGCCTCGGAGCTCTACGGACAATTAGATATGTTTTTTTACTTTAAAGCTGGAATCCTTAATAGTGAAACAGCCACGTCCGTTTGTGATATTACAACAACAAAGAAGTTACTGCATATAATGAACACTGTTTTTTCCCCTCGGAGCACGATATGTACTGCATTTCCTCAGCTCGGCAACAAAAACAATAACAACGGTGGTGGTGCGGCCAGTGGCGCTGTTTCGCCCTACTGCGGATTCATCTTTAATTTTAGAATGTTTAAAAAAAAAAAACTTTTGATTTGGCCAAATGGCAACTACCCCAATACACATACAAAAAAAGATCTGTGTCCCCAGTCCTCCTTTTATATAACTCACTCAGCCCAGCGTCCCTCACTTCATCTCCTCCTCCTGTGAAAGAAGGGGTGAAAATAGTAATGAAATGAGAGGCAACGTTATAGCCACTTGACAGAGCTCCAGTGTGTAAGTGAAGTGTGTGAGTGGTGGGAGTGTGCACACAGTGTGTGTGTGTGTGGGCTGTGTTATTAAAAAGTAGCTGGCCAATTAAGTCCTCTGTCCCCACTCTCTTTAAAAGCTTACCCTTTAATTGGCTGTGCTGTCAGATCAGCGTTGACTTGGAGCCTAAATAAGAGTTCTGGGTAGAGAACTAACCGGCCCAGCACACACAGAACCAGTCCCAGACCAAACACATGTGGTTCTCCACTCCCTTATAGTAACCCAGTGCAACAGATTTTTAATGAACTATGTTGTGGATTTGTTCCCCCAGTATGCAGTATATATTGTGGTTGGGGTTCTGTTTGTGGAGACTGTATCAAATCAGCTTCATCTAACTCGGCCAGTAAAAAAAAAAAAAAAAACGCTGAAAGCCTGCATCTGCAGCCAGGAGGCGACAGAGTCCCCACAGCCACAATGACTAGGCAAAACTCTTCTCCTCACCTCTCTTCTCCTCTCCTTTCATCTCCTCTCATCCCCTCTCATCTCCTCTCCAATCCTCTCTTTTCCTTTTGTTTCCTTTCCTCTCCACTCCTTTCCTGTTCTCTTATTTTCTCTCCTCCCCTCCTCTTCTTTCCTCCAGC